TCTGCGAAGCAGAATTCCGCTGAAGGGCAGTGTCGCTACTTGAGGAGAAACAATACCTCAATTCAGGGGGATATTTAAAAGCACGTAAAGTATGAAGTATTCTATGCAAGATGGAGGACGCAGTCGTCCGACGAAGAGGCTCTTTCGGGGCGGGTTATGAACATGCAATATACCACAAAGAGTTCCCAGCGAGGGGATTCGGTAATAATTTTTGATTCCAGCTGGCTGATCTTTAAACGCAACTTTGCTAGATCTGAGCGTCCGGTCAACCTTCAACCAGGGCTTCTAGTGAAGAAAACGCGTTCTTGAAATACCTAGCCGGCGCCTTTCATAAATTACCATTTATTGGTAACCTCACGCAGTCAGGAGGAGCAAGAAGAGTGTAGTTTGGCCATACTGTAATGGGTCACCTGTCGCTGCGGTCGTAGACCGTAGCGTAGGCCTCTGCATGGTGCGGTCTTGGTCCTCAGGTCGAGGACCGCGGACCGGACCGCACGGTCTTGCGGTCTCGAATTCGGAGGTTGAGACCGCACCATAGTGAACCGCGGTCCCTTGAGCTCTTCACCATGGTGAACCGCAATTGCATAATTCTGCTAAGGCCTTCCCTATTCGGCTGCATAAATTGATAATTCATCTATCCAGATCGTGCCTATAGCTTTCTCTCAGAAAAAAAATCGTCTATTCATGCTATTTCTAAAAGCTGAATTAATTTTGGTGGGTATCTTCCTTGCCTCCCCCTGTCTTATCCCATACTCATTTCGTCAAAATGTCAGAGTCAGGCCTCTCAGTTCTCTGATCACTATCCCTCATTAGTTTTTGAGGACAATCCGCGAGATACCCTCTTCTTCTTCGCATCCGATGGGCTATCCAACCTCGACGGGCGCGAAACGCCAACTTTTACTCCTGACGTGAACTAACTCCGACCGGTGATTCCTCCTGTTATCCCAGAAACACTCGAACGCATTGGCCCTCCTAAAAGGAAGGACTATATCCTCTGGACGGAAATGGCAAATGAGGATTTCGTTATCTGGTGGTTAAAGACAGAGTATGGAAGTAAGATGAAACGGAATATCTTCGAGGGTAAACGCAATGCAGAATGTTGGGACCACTTCTACCAGGTCGCTGCTATCAAGGACGGGTCTCCTAAGGTAATATGCAAGAATTGCGACCATATCCTTGCTCATCCTGCCGACAAACACCGGGGAACATTTATATGGGCTTCTCTCACTATTACATGTATCAAAATCTTGGATGTGGTGAATGAATGGGTTCATCAAAAAACAGATTACACCCCGGGGTTTTGACAGTAAACCTCCTCAATAAACTGATGTCTTTTCACAGCCCTCTCAAAATCACAAAAAATAGTTTTGTCACCTGCAGCAATCGCCTCATAGACACAAGCCACATTTCTATTTAGCGGACCCATCTCGGCAAAAGCCCCTTTCTTGAGCGCAATTTCCACAATTTCGTCGGTGGCAAAGTCGTGAAGCTGAATGCTGTTTGTACCGACGATCTCGATGAAAGCATTGGGACCTGTAATTCTGATCTCTCCCTTTTCGCCGTAAATGCTCCACTCAAGTCCAGGAGATCCCTTGAATGGTGCTCCGCCTCTGATCATAGCCGAAAGGACGGCACCTGACTTGAGCGAACCCTGAATCATAACGTGATCTGGAGTTGTCTTCTTGGCGTTCTCTTTGGCCACGGAGCCATCGGCTTTAACAATTCTAACCACTGGTCGTTGGTTTGAAAGAAGAGATTTGAAGCTTGAGAGCTCGCCAAGGACTGCGATCGATTAGCGACTGATGACAAGTTTCCTAATGTGTTGGGCCCAAAGACAAACCTTCCTGAACGGTGTCGAGCAAATGCAAAGCTGGAATCGAGAGTAAGGAGCCACCACTTCCACGGTCAACTAGGTAAGTTTGATTTTCAAGCTCCGTCTGTCCTGCAATCATTCCTTGACTAGTGACTGTAGTGCTCAGAACTTTGCCAATTCTTCCTTCTGCCAAGACGTCTTTCAAAGTTTCGACAATGGCGTCAAACCGGCCTTGAAGGCCGACTGCAGTGAGCTTGACATTGTTCTCTTTTGCCACACGGAGCAGCTCCTTGGCTTCCTTAAGGCTCCCACCCAAGGGCCACTCAACAAAGACATTCTTGCCAGCTTTGAGGGAAGGAAGAATAGACTTGTAATGACGATCTACTCGCGTAGCGCAAACAACAAGGTCAATGTCTTTATCGTCGGCAATACCTAGTCATAGGAGTCAGATACTTCACTGTATTTAGGGTAATGCACAGAGGGGAACATAATTTTGTTACTTACTTTGCACATTTCCATATGTTCTTACGTCGCCTAGAAGCTTGAGTTCTTTAACGCTCTTCGCAGCACTTTCCACAGATGAATTACAAACAGCCACAACTCTGAACTTTGAATCGGGGCTCTGCAGATAGGGTAGATGAGCATTAGCTGCCCATGAACCAGGTGAAAGACCAATTATGCCAATGCGAATTGGGCCCATGGTGATGACTTGATAATAAAAAAGAAAAGTCTATGGTTAACCAATCGAATGGCATAGCGTTCCCCCCCGTTTAAATACATAGAAAAGTTTTGATAGTTTGATTCATTACATCATGACCCATCACCCAAAAAAAGTCAAAGAATACCCGCCCTGCAAAACTGATGATGGTTTATCGTTGGTATTCTGCCGGTATCCCACCACCGATAATGTTTGTAAGCCGATTGATGATGACAATATGGAGATAGTTGTCCTGGAAATTGTTCTAGGTAGTCGGATTCTGCGACCATTATCAATCTGCTTATAACGGTTAGTGGGATGTCGGTGGGAGGCCGATGCGATACCGGTTGGAGGTGGGTGGGGGTAAAGGTCGGATGCCAACGGGAAGTTAGGTGGTGTGTGTTAGAAATCCATTCTCCTTATGTTTTTTCCTGAGTATCATTGTAGGCGAATGCGGCACCCATTGTTGGAGAGTTGCGAGGATGTCTGGCTCGATCCTAGTGGGTAGGCACCCGTAAGATTAAGGAAGATAGCACGCGTTTACATGCTTCGTTTCCGTCAACATAAAATCAGTTTAGAGTCTGCGAGGGGCGGAGCTATGAACAGACCGATTTAAAGCCTCATGTAGCCGAGTACTGGACGAAATAATTGTGCCGAACCCCGTCGGCGGTTGATCTATGACTTCTCCCAATTCCCGAGAAATATATATTCCGCACATCTAAACTTGTCACTCATACTCGAACCTGGCGCTTAGTAGTGTTAGTTCAGGTTTGTCAATATGAATTGTAGAGATGTAGAGAATGATCCAGCAAGTATTTATATCGAGAAAAGAAGAATTCATGTTCCGTGAATCCAGAGGCCTGAAACTACCAGCTCAATCACACCTACCTCGACATAGGAACGATATCACAAAATGAGCAAAGTCTTTGTTAGCTTCGGAGCCACTGGGCAGCAAGGCGGCGCACTAATCGATTTTGTTCTCCAACATAGGACCTTATCGAAGGAGTTCATTTTAAGAGGGATCACGCGAAATGCCTCAAACCCGCAAGCGGATCAGATCAAAGAGCGCGGTGTGGAGGTCATCAAAGTACGCCAGAAGACGGCCTTGAAATGGTGTTTCCGAATTATCTGACTGGTTTTCTCTATCAGGCCGATATGATGATCCTCCGTCACTGAAGCCAGCTCTCGAAGGAGCATACGCTGTGTTTGCCATGACTAATTGCATGTTACGTGCCCCCAAACAAGCACCAGAAGACGGACGGACTCACCTTCCATAGTCTGGGACAAAGCAAGTGCCGAAACCGAAATTGCGTAGGGGAAAGCCATTGCCGATGCATCGTTAGCAGCAGGCGTGTCTCTGATGATCTGGTCCTCTCTGCCAAATGTTACTATGATGTCGAATGGACAACTCACTACCGTCGAGCACTTTGATAGCAAGGCTGAAGTAGAAGATTACATTCGTACCCTGAACTTCCCCAGCAGTGTCTTCTTTCTCCCTGGTTGGTTCATGCAGAAATTTTGGGATAATTCTGTTCCAAGGCCAAAGATGGTGTGCAATCATCCGTTCCAGATATCAGTCTAACGAAACCGCTAACTAAATTCAGATCTCCGAAGATACAGTGTTATTCCCATTTGCCTGGCCCTCGCACATGAGAATTCCTTTAATCGACATCGGCGGTGCGGGGAAATATCTTGTACCTGCACTTCGAGACCCGGCAAAATACAACGGTGCTCAAGTGGTTTCGGCTACAGCGTTCTATTCTGTCCAGGATATTATGGAAAAATGGTCGAAAGCTAGTAGGAAGAATGTTCGACTTGCTACTAGCGATGAAATTTGAACAATTCATTACTCATCCTCTACAGAGAGATGTGCTACGTCCTGGTCCTTTGTTCCTGAGGTACGGGTATTTCGGCCCCAATGGTGACCGAGACGTAGTTTGGACTCTGACGCAGCTGGATCCTGCGGATAAATTGACAACATGGGAGGAGTTTTTCTTGTTCGGAATGGTCCATGGGATTTTTAGTAGGTCTTTGCTGGGTATTCGGGAATCAAGATTTTATCCCTTGTTTAGTTTGATTGAAAACGCAAGATTACCTTTACTGTGAATGATATCTGCAACTGCGATACAACCAACTGGTAGGCTAACAATGTGATCGAACGACACATATTATGCTGTTCTCGAGGATGGTCCGTTCAAAGACCAGGCCCTGATTATAGTAGCTGACAAGAGATTTAAATACTATCTGAGTGACGAGATCAAAGAATTGATAACTTTCTACAGTATTCATGCATGCTGAAACAAATCTCTATAACTTGACCGCGGCAGAACTGTTTTGCCGTCTCCACATCTTTTACGACGTTCATGTCCTGAATTAAAGTCATCCACCCATTTCTGATTAAACGGCAGCAATGGCCGCCCCGGTGTTCCCTCTTGCGGCTCCCCCGCAATTTGTCGAAGCTCTTCAAAATAAGTTTTGAACTCCGGATTGATGACGGCAAAAGCCGGTCCATCGCCCTTTACTGCCATTCGATCAGTCTCCCACGCCTCCTGCTCTTCAACAGAGGGAAGAGTGGCCCGAGCCGCGAGAACACGTGCGGCAGCAACAGACTGCCATTCAAAAACCTTAAAGGTAAGACCGGCGCCGACCTAGATACGCATTTTGAATCAGCATCATCGTCCTAGTTGACATCCGTTAGATTCCCGTAAACTTACCGCTCCAACAAATGTCAATGTTGGGTCATTTCGATAGAACACATGCTGATACAGGTTAGGGACACGGCTATTTCGGGGTTGGACCTGAGGCAAGAAGGGCAAGGTCTAACTGAAACCAGTTCCAGATATAATGTGATCCACCCCGGTTTCGGAAGTGCCATCCTCGAAATAGACAGTTCGGTTGTCAGTCCTAATATGGAAAATTGGCGCACAACGCAGAATCCTTGGATGTTTAAATGCGTCGTCACCAAAGTATGCATTATACCGGCCACGAACTACGGCGTGGATTGGGGTTTGAGCGCTGTCAATGAGGTTGACTGCAGTGTCTGCAGCAGAAACAGAGGCTCCGACCATCATGATTTTCTGGAATGCCGTCAATAATGCAAGTATCTCACCCAGGGTAATAAAAAACGCACCTTGCCTTGATACTTTTGCGGGCCACGGTAGTGTTTCGTATGCTCAACACTGCCGGGGTATCTTGCAGCAAACTCCTTCAAGCCAGGAATCGCGGGAATATAAGGAACGGCATAATGACCGGATGCCACCACAACGGCATCGAAGCAAGCAAAAGACCTTATATACAACATGTAGATTGAACATCGATGAACCTAGACTCCGCCATTCATCCATTGAGTCCAATCGTCGTTGACTGCGCCAGCGCCAGGTCGAAAATTCGCATTATTGCCAAACAGATCGTCAAAGGAGATCCCCAAGTCTACATTCATCCCAAGGGCATTCTCGTCGAGGCCCATATTGAAGTCGGGGATCCCATTCTGAGGAGCAGTATCCTGCTGCATCGTGCTCGTAGTGGGTTCATTATTCACGGTATCCACGTTTGCTGATTGGAAATTATACCCTTGCCACACAAAGTTCTGATTGGGGATGAACACCAAGTCCGGGCTGCTGAGGTGTTCGCTGGGAGTTCCGCCTTGCAAGATCGGTGAGTGCAGTCGCGAAGGGCTCATAGGTTGTGTTGTGGGTTGTTGCAAGCGGCTAGGGATAGATGACTTCATTCCTGACGTGGCGCCCACGGGGAAATTTGGGAAGTTGGCAAATGCATCGAAACTGGGTGTGGATATTCCCGTTCCCGCCGGGTCTCTCGGTGTGTTTGGTCCCATCCCTTGATGCTGAGAGGCAGAATCGAAGAAAGGTTGGTTCAGCGTGGCACCGTTGCGCTCATGTTTGAAGTGATCATCCTCTAGCGTTGACATTGGTTGCGTGGGATAAGCAAATGGATCGCCAGAGGGGAACATCATGGGCATCAGATCTGGCAAATTGTTAGGGTTGTTGAACTGCTGAGCCCAGGCCAAACTTGAAGGCTCTTGGTTGGAGAAAGATGCGTTGAATGAGTTTGCAGAAGATGGTTCTGGCGTAGACATGGTCTCGGTTAGGAGCTCTGGCGTCGATGCCAGCCAGGCGGACTGCGTACCGCTTTCGGGCTGTCTGGCGGGTTGAGTGGTGTCTAGACTCTTTTGCCGACGGCTTGCAGTAGGATTTGTCGAGGATGATTGAGCCATTATCGGCGCTGGGAATGTGCTCGAGCGATTAGGCACGGTTTGTACTGGAGCATTTTGAATGGACTCGGGCTCCATGGCAAAGTTGGACGGAGCGCGTCGCTTCAAGTTGACGGGAACCTTGGAGCTTTGGCGGTTCTTCAGCATCCCCGGAAGAGTCTTGAAGAGGCACTGTCGATGATGGTTAGATGGGTGTTGCCACGGGGTGAAAAAGAAAACATACGGTTAGACTCTGGGAGCACCTGTCCGCTGCCATGCTCTTTTTGGCTAGCCCGGCTAGTGTGTTTTTGCCTTCCATGGCATCCTTCAAAACACCATCCTTGGCAGTGGGCGAATCGGGATTCTCTACCACGAAGAAAATGAGTGAGAGAATGGCAAAGTAGGTGGTATACATGGTGAACCAGAACGAGCCATCAAGAAGGCCTCTCTTGTGCATACCCGTCGTGATGTGGACAATGTTTCGGGATACGCTAACGCAAGCCGCAGCGCAAGCGTAGGACCGCTTATCGACGCCACGAGCTTGAGAGCCACCTGATACATAGTGTAAGAAGGGGCGGTACATGACCATCTGTACATGCGCGTAACTGATACGCAAAAGTTGACGAATACTAATGGAGAAAAAGATTAAACAAAATAAAAAAAAAAAAAAGACTCACATTGTAGACTTACCGCTCAAGCTGGGGTGACACTTCTGTGCCTGGACGCAGCGCCGGAGGAAGTTCCTCCATCCAGGCCTGCAGATCACGCTCAATCTCGCGGATCTTCGAATGGCTGACCATATAGCGCTGATCAGACTTGGACCGATAGCGCGCGTTCTTCACCGGATAGATGTATTTGACCACCTTCAGCACGACGTTGCAAAGGCGTGTATGTGCATTACACCCGGCCATCAGGGGGGTATAGTCGGTGGGCTTCTGAGTAATACCCTCTGCGGTAATGAACTCTCCGTCGACTTCCATCGGGTATTCTTGGTCGATGTCGTCGTCGCTCAGCATTTGAGGAAGACCCAGCAAGGTGCTCACGTAGACGTCCATCTTACGAACAACCCAGAAGATGCGCTTGCGCAGCTCTCGCTCAACCGGGTTGAAGTCGGCCGTAACGGTACGATGAAGTCCCAATCGCAGCGCCGAGCGAAGCGCAATGCCAACGTACGAGTAACAGGTACTCAGCTTGGCGGACGATTGGAGGAAGAGCACCATGAAGCAGATTGCTTGCAGGGAGGTGAGATCTCGGCAATCCGTAATTTCCAGTAGTTGTCGTCCCGCCTTGAAGAATTGGAACCTGCGAAGGCACAGTTAGCAAGCTCATATGACGTCCGCCCAGGCCTGACAAGAGATTTGACTTGACTTACCCTTGACCAATCGCACCCTCATAACCAGCGAGATCCAATGTTCCGGCACCGTCATCGGCGAACAAACATCCGACTGCCATAACAATATACAACAGGGGCAAGAACGAGTTCTCTTCATTACCAAATTGCTCAGGTGGCGTTTCATAGATGCGGTCAAGACTCGCGAAGAATTTAGGCTCGATCACGAAGCGCATCAGAGAGCAGGCATCTTCCAGTGCATTGCGACATAGTCGGATAGCAACCGCCCGCGGGGGGAGGTTGTGCGCAGGAGGCAGTGCGGCATCCTGCGGGGAATCGGATACGGACACCGATTTGGGGCTTTCGAGCATCGCCGTGACGTTTCGAGGCACGGGCGCTTCGACTGCACCTAATTGTTTGCGCAAGCGGCGGACGAAGATGATTCCCGAGGTATGCCCATGATAGTCCCAATGTCCCTGATCATCACGGTCTAGACAGCCCGTATTTCCAACCATCGTCTCCAGCAAGGACTCATCACCGGCTTCAGGGCCGGTTTCCGCGGAAGGTCCGTGGGGTTTGGCAGCGACTCCGCCGGTCGACGCTGGCTTGTCCTTCGGGTGGATTGGTAAACGGTACTCGGGAGCGTTGACGTCCAGATTCGGGTCGTCGAGGTTGACATCTGGCAGGACCTTTCGGAGGAGGGCCTCGGCCTTTTGCATGCGGGCTACCAGGGCTTCGGCATACTGCGGGGCGGGATTGCGACGACGGCTGGAGGGTTGGTCGTACGAACACTCTATAGGACGTTAGCCACGTGTGGGCGGAAACGCAGGGGAAAAGCACGCGAAAAAAAAAAGCAAGCCAGGGCGGAGAAGGCGCACCATAACTATAGACGGTACAGTGGGTACACGGTTGTTTGCCGTCACACTTGATCTTCTTCCGGCGACATTCGTCGCAAGCGCGACCTACTCGTCGGCGCTTCTGGAGTGGCAACGATTGAGGGGTGAATTTAGGGCCTGAGGACGGGGTGTCCTGAGTCGAGGCGAATTGCGAGTGGTCGGCGTCGTCATGAGGGTAGTCATTCGGTGCCGAATCGTCGTCGCTATCACCATGCGCTCCGGAACCACTCGCCATTATAGATTATCCAGGAGGGGGCGACCGGTGAGATTTAATAAATCATGTAAGGAGAGGCGGGCTTGGCGGGTGATCTGATCTCAGTGATTATCCATCGCCCTCCTTGCGGTCGCATTCGCAAATGGCAGTTGGGGAAGGGGATCGGACGAATGACGAAGCGGCTATGATAGTCGATCGGTCGTACGGTCGAGTCTAATCGTCAAGAGATTAGGGAGTTGACAGCCTACATTGCAAAACTAGCTCGCACATTTGCCTTATCCAGGGTAGATATTGATTATAAATCGGCTCATAAAGCCCTCATTTATTCAACAGATTTAACAGAGCTTTTAGTTCATCATCGCATATTCAATTGCGTCATCAACAGCATATTGACTGCTCAGCGAGGTGCCAGTGGTGGGAGACCGGTGGGAGATAAGTGGGAGACCGGTGGGAGATAAGTGGGAGACCGGTGGGAGCTGGGACACCGGGTTCGTAATCTCCCATCGGAATGAATTACAAAAGCAACGCCCAAGTCTCTTGAATTCACGCAAAGCCCCCTTTCGCACTCGATGAAGAAGCTCAATCATGGCTGCTGCAAGAGATAATTCTAAGCCCTACCTACCGGTTGCTGGTGGTGCCGATGATGGCTGGTCAAAAGAAGACCAGGCGACTGCCACATGCTACTGTGGCGCAGTGCAGTTAGCCTTTGTAAGTAATCCCAAGTATAACTAATATAACGTATTTCCTGGCCAATCGGGCCACCCCAAAACACCATACTAAATGTAATATTTCACAACTTGATATTTCAACACTCGAAGCTGATTATCTCGTCTTAAGATAGTTTAGGATTTAATATACCATAATACGTATTCTGCTTAAGGCAAAAAATATATTTCAGGGTGTGACAATGTAGACAACTATATCTACGTCGGCCTGAAGTAGCGTATTTTTGGTATTACGTGTAAATAATTGTGTTATGAATATATTAGTTGTGCTCTACTATTTCTAATGCTCAGAAAACGTTCTCTACCAAGAATTAAATAAGAATAACTTATCATTGATATATCATGACCTAAAAATCTGCCTCTAATATGGTGTTTTGGGGTGGCCCGATCGGCCGGGAAATACGTTATCCCGCTAATGACACGGACAAACCTCAGCCTACACAAGGCCCGGGCTTAATCGACACATTCACCTGCCATTGCGCGGACTGCCGAAAAATCACCGCATCCATGTTTGTGACCAACTTCATTGTGGCAGACACACATTTAAAACATCTACGTGGCCAAGAAACCCTCAAATCATTCAGTCAGTCGAAAACCATAGCCTCCGGCAAAGCAATGACAAATTGTTTCTGTTCTACATGTGGCTCGCTCATGTACCGCATCAGTGAAGTGTTCCCGGGACACAGTATTCTGCGTACCGGAACAGTGGACGATTTCACCCTACATGAAACGAAATTGAAGCCCAGGTTTGAGCTATATACCAAGGACCGAGTGGGATGGCTTCGGGGCGCAACTGATGTGGAGCAGGTCAATGGATCGGCTTATCCCCCAAAGAGACCTGGTCTTTCTGAACTCTGAATGAGACAATTGGAGCTTCAGTGTAATAGCTCTAGCTATGGTTACAGAGCCAAGTACTTTACAATCACTTGTACTCCTACGTGATCCACGTTCCATTAGTCAGGCTCCACATGACCGTGCACAGAACCTCATTAGTTAGGTGTCGAGACTGGAGAGCTCACTTTTCGACGCTGGCATCAATACGGATCGCGAAAGTGTCGCGTATAATAATCTCTACGCTCATTACCGGGAACTCGAAGGGGGTTACCACCGTGCAATTGTCCCTGAGGTCTACTTGTAGGAGTCACGCACAGATGGCAATGTCTTGTTCACAATTCGACATGCTCTTTAGAAAATGTTTAATCCTTGTGATAATTTGCGTCGTTTAAGAGTATGCCCAAATAAAACATTTCGAATAAGAAGTAGATAATTAAGTCCCGCATGAAATACATGATAGAATGGAAGATTCGTCCATTTCTGCCATCTGTGATCAAATGGGACCGTAAATTTGAAATACACCGTCACTTATAGTCGGAAATTCTGAATGTTGTCCTTAAGAAATGCTGCAGCCTCACAGCGGAAGTTATCAGGAATCAACTCTGAGTGATCAGCGTACATATTAAGCAGCCGGTGACTCTTACTCCACTATGGCTAGTGACTATATTTACCGTCGTTGCCGTCGTTTGGATCCAGTGAGTTGACAAACGAAATGTAGTACGCGTGGAACGCGTCCGACGCATAATTTGGTAAGATGCCGAAGAAAACTTGGAGGAGATCGCGCAAAACCACCATCGCCAGACTCCACACCTTACCGCGGAAACATCCTATATGGGACACCTTACTTCGAGCCCAAAGACGGAACAAAATAGGAACATCGGCCCGGTTCCCCCTCGCGGAAGCCCTGAAAACCATGAGCCCGGAGAGACTCCAGGAGCTAGAAATGATCGACCCAACTCCGCTGCCTCCTTGGTGGACCGAAGCCTTTTCTAAGATTGAGATCGAGCCAAACAAGGAGATCGCAATAGCGCAAGCGGAGACTGCACGTTCCACTTCGGACAATGTAGTATACTCCGACGCATCGGGACGCCAAGGCCACCTGGGCGCCGCGGCCGTGGCACTTAACGGCTCGCAGGAAATAGCCGAGATGTACCAGGTGCAGGTCGGGCCCATGGACCGATGGTCTGTCCATGTCGCCGAACTAATCGCAATCTTGTACGCTATCAACATCATCAACAAGATCGCCCTCCAACGTCGGAGATCAACGGGTGTGCGAGTGAGAACTACCACTGTTCTCAGCGATAGCATGTCGGCATTACAAGCAATCCAGAATCCAGGACACAAATCGGGACAACAGATCATCTACGCTATTCTACAGGCAGACAGGAACACCAAGAGCCACGGCATCGCCGTCCGGCTACAGTGGATACCTGGACATTGCGAAGCACATGGGAACGACACCGCAGACCAACTAGCTAAAGAGGCAGCCATACCTGGCAAAACCCACCCATTTTCCCCCTTGCTATCCCGCGAGAGAGCCCATATAAAAAAAGGAATCTATACACAATGGGAAAGAGAATGGAAAGAGTCAAGGGACGGCGGCCATCTTCGTAATATCGACAACGCACTGCCAGCGAAATACACGAGGCGGCTTTACGGATCGCTACCAAGAAACCGAGCGTACCTGTTAGCGCAATTGCGAACGGGACATTGCTGGTTATCAGCATACGCAAAGACCTTCCGCTTCCGTAACGACGACCTGTGCGTCTGCGGCGGGCGGGCAAGCGTGATACACGTCCTGCTGGACTGCCCGTCGCTCAAGGATCTACGCCGAGAGCTCCGGGGGAAGGTTGGCGACGCGTTTAATAGCATAACAACCTTATTGGGAGGATCTGGAGAAAGGGGAACTGCTTCCCGTGCCAAGACGGTCGAGGCTGTCCTGGACTTTGCGGAGGCATCACAGCGATTTCGAAGCCGCGCGCCATGAGGGCAGCCAACCAAGCAATGAGGGCCACTTGGCCACGACAGGCCCCGACGAGGCTCTAAGTTCGTTTTGGAAGTCGTACGCGAACATATATTTCTAGATGTATATATAGTTGCGGTAGCCTGCATATCACTTCGGTGAGGGGTCAGGGTAAATGAATTACACACACGCACACACAGACTGTAATTTTTTGAAATTGTTCCAGCGAAATGGAAAAGACATTACACAGGATTACTGTGGGACGTGTGGTGCTAAAAGCTATACAAAATCCTCCCTGCTAGTGATAGCCTGCCTTTTCCTAGCTACAGTGGGTCCAACTTTAGCATGGCTTTTTCAGATTCCAGGATAGCTAGTAGTGACTGGTCAACAAGGTTGTTACGCAATTCCATTAATTGGAAGTGTGAAGTTGCGGAATTAAGTGAAGTAAGGCCAGAATGCATAAATCTTACCGCTGTTACGCACAGCCCTTGTCAATGTCGCCACTCAATCCATTGACTGTTCATGCAGACCTTGTCACTGGATTTATCGTGAAACTATTTATTCTCCAGTATTTGGTACAAACACGCAGGATGGGATTTTGCATTCCATTGGAAACCACAACCATTCTCACATCGGGAATTCTAGATTTTGTACGGGATCATATTCAAGTGTAGTGTAATTTTGGGCTAAGATTTCGAGTCTCGTTTTAGTTTTGAGTTACTCCCGGGTTTCTTTGACTAGCCAGCGAGAATAGCAACTTCCCCTTTTTAGAATGGTAGGAAAGTTCATACTTTCGGGCTGATTAATCTATAGTTACTTCCGCTATATTTACAGTGCTGCTATTAAGATGGTGGAAGAGAAGCTACCATCGTCGCTACAGCCCCAAGATGTCTTGATTCGCATCCGTGCTGTCTCTCATTACTACAGAGACGTCACGATCATGCATGCAAAGTATTTGGCAGTTGAGTTATGGGCAATCTAATGCTATATGATCAAGCGCAAAAGATCAATAGAGGAAAATTTAAAATGTGGATTTGTTATCAAAAGCTCGTGACCCGAGGGATCAAGACGGAGCTGAGGTAACCCCCCCGTCGTTCTTTCAAGTACGCAGAAATATTTTCTTGCCAAAGACCAGGGGGGCCCCAAGCTACTAGAAAATGCGGGCCTCGAGGTCTAGATGGAGAAACTCTTGCTGTTTGGCCAATCCTAATCAACCGTACACCCTACAGGAGGACGGTGTCCATACATATCCGTGCCCTTCGCTAGGCTGCGATCCACCCACTTGCTGACGCTCATGGGTGCGCCACACGTTTATCATAGTCACATATCCATCATAAATTTTCAAATACACCATGTAATTTATCAACTAACCTGGCTAAAATCATCTAAAAAACACTAATAATCGGGGAAGAAGAGCTCTCCTTTCTCCCTTGCCTCCTTTTCGTCATCAATTGCTCTCTGAACAATCTCTTTAGTGCGCTTTGAGGGCTTAAATCCATGCGCTATTTCGAATTGCTTATCGAGCTTCCTCTCACGAGCAGCGTTCTCCTTCGCCTTCCTCTGTTGAATCGACCAATTCGCACCACGAGGCTTTAATAAACCATTCTGGTTAAGCGGTTTAACCTGCCGCTTAGTGTATACACGGCGTTGGAGGTCTTGCGCAGCTCTAACTCGCCGAATCGAGTCCTGTGTCATCGCAAGCTCCTCGAGCTTCTCCCGCTGTTGTTCGAAGAGCCTAGTGAGGTTTCGCTGCATTCTCTCTGAGGATAGAGTAATATCCCCAAGAACCTTCGCTTGATCCCTCTCGAGCGCCTCAACCGTGTCGGGAGGGCTATTATCCACGCTAGCAGAGAGGATAAGGGGCCGTTCCCACTATACCATCCCGATTTTTACCAGAGCAATGTTATAGTCGATGACTTGTTTCATGTCCTTGGAGTTATCGACTGGGAAGGCGCTTGTACTGTGCCTTGGGAGATGGTTCAGCCGCCGCAGTTCATAAGTGTGTTGCCTCGTGCGATGGATGACCCGGGGAATTATGATGATAGTGGAAGGCCAATGGATCAGGAGACGATAGAGCGGATTGAAGAAACAAATGAATATGTTCGATATGTACGAGATGTGGAGGAAGTGGTTGATATGGATAACATGCTCTCTATTGTTTTGAGCGACCATCCTATACAAGGGATTGTTTACGCGATGAAGGTGTATCTTGATCCGGGGAAGATGGGATTTTACTGCAACGTGTTAGACTCTTTTGACTCATGAGAGTTTACCTAGTTGTCCTGACCACAAAATTTCACGCAGGTCAAGATCGAATCCTGGTCTAGACTTGATATACCTGACATTCGGTTCTGAGAGGCTGATTTCTATTAGGTGGTTAATGCACGTTAATTAGCCTTGGATAATTGCTGTGTCTGATGTCTTAGGACTAATGCTATCATATAATCTATTCTATATCTGACTGGGTCCCCTGGCAGACCCCTGGTCCACGCGGATTAGATCCACGAAACGATCCAAAACCCTAGAATCACCTGCTTCTCTCTCAACAGGAAACCTGTTCCCCCGAATAAGTTCAAGCAATTGGAGCCTCGTAAGGACCAGCTCCATATCAGCTCGAGAACTAGGCAGGCCATTCAATCTCCGCCGCGTGAGAACGCCATTACTAAGGATCAACCGCCACTTCTCTCCCGCATCAGTGACGTCGAAGTCCAAGCTGAAAGCTGCCTTTCCAGCCCGTTGGCCATCCAGCTGGACAGACAGAATTTCGAACCATTGTTCGATTTGCAACTTCTCACCTAGCGGCGTCCGTCCTCCCACAACCATACCAGCCTTCTTACCTGTTCTGAGCTCCTGCGCTGCAGTGAGGTAAAAGTTGCGCCATGTCGCGTTCTCGGCGCCATAGCCGAGCTGCTCGTATGTTGTCGCGAGCAGATCCTGTGCGCGTCGGCTCGCGTTCTCGGGATCTGCTGCCACGACGTGTGCGAGTAGTGTCGCGGCAAACCGGTAGTCGCGCCACTCCATAAAAGTCTCTGCCTTGTCGCAGACACCATCAACACCGCCGAAGCATTCAACATACCGTTGGCCCTCTTCGCGAGGGGGATATTGCCACAGATGCTCCGGCCGCCCGTCGAACCAGGTCATGTACTTTTGATATATGCCCTAAGCGGTCAATATACCTTTCTGTCGTGCTATCTCAGAAAGGGTAAGCTTACCTTGACATTGTGACTCAACGATCCATAAAATCCCCGACAATGCCACGCCCTCTCCAGCGCCTCCGGCAACTGCATCACCTCTGCAATCTCCGTTCCGGTCATTCCCAAATTCATCATGCGCACTGTCTGATCATGCATATACCCATACAAATCCCTCTGCTCCGCCAGCCGTCGGATCAAGTCTTTATTCCCCCACGTCGGCCAATTATGGCTCCCAAAAAGCACATCCGCCCCGCTCCCAAACAGCACAATCGCCTCATCCAAATACCCACTCCACGCCATCGCATCCCTTACCTGCGCCCCGCGCAGCGTCACAATATTATGCATGCAATTAGTCGCGGTTTCCGGAATGCATAGCGCGCGGAATTCCGGGAAGAAGAAATTAATCTCCGCGGGCGCCTCTGTCCCTGGAACCATCTGGAACACGATCCGCACGCCGTCGACGACATGCTCCTCGCCCGTCTTTTGGATAAGAAGATTCGGCGGAATCAAACTCGTCGTCCCCACACTCGACCCCATCCCCAGTCCTGTTCCAATCTGTCCCGTCGGAGAACGTGGTAGAGCGTTCCCGTACATCGCCGCGCCGCGCTTACGCATCGCAGGCCCGGCCAGGATACTCTCGCTCAGTACGGCTTCGATGAAGCCCTCGGGCGCGATAATCGGGATATCTGCCTCTCCTTCTTTCTGCAGATCAGGGTTGACGACGCCCGCGGCGCCCATGTAGTGGTCCCCGTGCGAGTGCGAATAAATCATCCCCGAGACTTTCCTCCCGTGTCCGCGATGTTTCTGGTACAGCTCTAGTCCCGCCGCTGCGCACTCGCAGGAGACGAGCGGGTCGATTACGATTATGCCCGTTTTGCCTTCGACGATTGTCATGTTGGACAGGTCGTAGCCGCGGATGTGGTAGATCCCGGGCGTGATTTCGTACAGACCGTGTTTGCTGTTTAGCTGGCCTTGTCGCCAGAGGTGGGGGTGTGCGGTGTCCGGGCAGGGCGATTGCATGAAGTCCCAGGCTTTTGTGTCCCAGACGGTTTTGCCGGTTGAGGAGGTTATTGTGGGTGTTGAGAGGGCGGCGATGAAGCCGCGGTCTGTGGCCTCGAAGTCGGCGCGGTCGCTGAAGGAGGGGGATATGGTGGGCATTGTTGCGGTCGTTGTTCCAAAGGAGTTGGCCGAGAATATGGTTGTGGTAGGGACGAGTTTATGAGATAATCATGAACTTATATCGCCAAGCCGGTTCACGGACGAGAAGACAGTACTGCAGATGTTGAGTTTCGTTTTCGACGCTTGACTGCTCGGCCCACGCGGGGTATAAATTTCGCTGGCGACGCTACGTACTCCAAGAGTCGCTAGGCGCCACTGAAACGCCAATCATAGACAAGACCTCTTGGAGGCATCCCCACAAGCCATCTATTTCGCTCCACTCCTCGCATCGGTTGACTTCTTTAGGTTAACCGGCTCTCCACGCGACTCAACAAATCGCAGACGGCGATATCCGCACACCGGTCATCACTTCTCCAACAGGATAACCGGAGCCGCACTATTGGAATCCTTCAGAATCTACCCCATGGGGTAGATTCGGCGGAGCAGCTTTTAAAGCTGCGCTGTCGCGGTTACTCGATTTCGGTTCTCGCTCGTTCTCCATATCTCCAACGTTCCGAACCTTCACTATCGGTGCAATGGAGAAGCAGACCATCGACCTCGAAGAGACTCAAGAAATGGAGAAATCTCAGCTCCAGCATGAGCAGCCCGACCCGGATGCCGACGAGGAGTTCTCCTACGCCGAACAGCGCAAGATCATCCACAAGGTTGACCGCCGCTTGCTTATCATTGCTGGTCTGATGCAGGCTGTTTCGTTCCTGGATCGCGCGAATATGTCCAATGCGGCCGTTGCGGGGATGACGGCGGAGTTGGGGATGGAGTTTGGGAATCGCTATGTGAGACCTCTTGAAAATCTCGGTTGCTAAAAACAAAAACGGAGACTTATTCACTCTGGCCTAGTCAATTACGCTGCTTGTCTTCTTTGCACCGTACATCGTGTTCGAGTTTCCTGCTACGATTGCTGTTCGTAAAATCGGACCGCGAAAATTCCTCTCGACCATTGTGCTACTCTGGGGAATTATCATGATGGTACGGCACAATTCGTGGTCAACGTTCAGAGTCCCTAACAAAGGTAGTGCTTTGGCTTCGTGCAATCCTGGGTCTCCCTCATCCCGCTGCGCATGCTCCTCGGTGCCCTTGAAGCCGGCTCTTTTCCCGGAATGTACTACCTCGTATCATCCTGGTACTCGCGCTGTACGTCTGCCCTATCTCATACGTTTTAATCAAATCTACTGACACAGCCTAGTCGACCTGTATAAACGCATTTCCATCTTCTACCTTATCGGCGTCCTGGGCTCCGCAGCCTCAGGCGTTCTCGCACTCGGCTTCTCGCGAATGGACGAACTCGCCAACTACTCCGGCTGGCGCTGGATATTCATCATGGAGGGGATTCTCACCTGTCTTATTGGTCTACTGGGATACGTCTTCATGGTGAGCTTCCCGAGCCAGTGCCATCAGGTGCGCTGGTTCCTCACGCCGCAGGAGAGCGCGTATATCCTGCGACGGCTGGATCGCGACCGCGGCGATGCAGATGTCGAGGGTGAGAAGTTCAATTGGAGGGCGTTTCTCAGTGCAGGACTCGAGTTCAAGGTCTGGGGGTTTGCGCTTGCGTTTTTGTATGTCTCCCCTCCACCCTACTTTCTTCTGAATTCGCAATGCGACAGCTAATGGCTGTGATTAGGTGCTCCACAATGCAAGCCTACTCAATCGGCTTCTTCCTCCCCGTCCTACTCAAACAGAAAATGTCCTTCTCCGAAGCCGCCTCGCAAGCCCTCAGCTCCCCGCCCTACCTCGCCGCCATGGCCCTGATGTACATCGAAGGCCTGGTCAGCGACAAACTCCGCCTCCGGTCTCCAATGTTGTATCTCAACTGCGCCATGTCTATCATCGGTCTCTGCCTGATGGAATGGGCACCGAGTGCAGGCGTGCAGTATCTCGGCGCGATCCTAGTCTGCGCGGGCTGCAGCGCGAATATACCCTCGCTGATGGTGTTCCAGGCGAACAATATCCGGGGCCAGTGGAAGCGGGCGTTCTGTAGTGCGAGTCTGATTAGTTTTGGGGGTACAGGTGGGATTGTGGGCAGTTTGGTGTTTCGGAGTCAGGATAAGGCGTTGTATTTGCCGGGGATTGTGGCGTGTTTGGTGTGAGTATTCTCCTCCCCTTTCAGCAGTGTTTTGTTTCTTCATCCTTTTTCGTTGTTTATCGTTTTTTTTATCACTGACGGCTCTTGATACAGGGCGAACGGTGTCATTGTCATCATTGTAACCTGTCTCGTGCTCTTTTTCATGATCAAGAACCGGCAGGCGGAAAAGGGACTCGCGCTTATTGAGGGCTTGCAAAGCTTCAGATATGTCCTGTGAGCTTAAGCTTAAACCAGGGGCAACGAATGAGGTTTAGACGAAAAGGCCCATGCGGTAAAATCAGACGCAGTCATAGAATGTATTTAGCTAGATGACAACATCTCCTAGTACAAAGATACGGCGTGGAGCAGAAAATGGCTCCCTATCCAGCCATCACGCATCGGATCTCGGCGGCCATCTAGAATAATCTAACGGTGTTTGGCTAATCAAGACAGCAGTTGTGGGGAAGAATTTGAGAAAGGCAGGAGGGGTATCTCTATCGCAAGTAAACCATCGTTCAGTTCTATCACCCACCTCATTCTCCCATACTTTAGTGACAATGGAAGCCTCAACATCCGAGGACGCACTCGCCCTCGCCTAACTCTACGGCCACCCACTCTACGCATATGCACAGTACGTTAAAAAATCCCGAATGCAGAAACAAACGTCGCGTATCCGTTCCGCAAGCTCGCGACTCCAGATGACCGCGCCGTCGTGCGGCCGAACGTGGATAGGCTCTGCACACCGCTCTTTTACGATGTCTCGCAGGCGGATCTGTTGCGTCCGCTGCTAGGAATGAACCTGAATTCATAATGGCTGCTCGGAACAGGGCTTCTCCATTATGGGTATTATCGCCAGAATATAGGGCCATTTGGTCAAAAACAGACCAGGCCCCAGCAGACTCACCCCAAATTGTGACTCTCGCAGGATCCCCTCCAAACGCACGAATATTGTCAGCAACCCACTGCAAGCCTAGGCGTTGATCTAAAAGTCCCGCGTTGGACGACCCCTCTTCCTGGATTTCTCGACCAGGAAGAAATCCAAATCCCCCTATTCTATAGGCGACGGTCACCACAATAATCGGTTTGCCTAGCTCAACTGACTTCTTTACCCATGGTGTTCCATCGTACATCGAATTCCAACCTAGTTGGAAGCCACCACCGTAAATGTAGAAGAGGACAGGAAGATCGTCTCCCTCTTTGGCACTCACCGGTCGATGAATTTTGAGGTAAAGACAGTCCTCGCTGGCTGCGAGAACCGGCTTCTGGAATATGGGGCTATTGATCAGAGTGGCGAAGAACTGCGGGAGAAGGGAATTTCCGTCTGTCGTGCTGGCGATGAATTGCGGACAAATATTTTTGTTTTTTGTAGCTTTGTAGACCCCATAAGGCTCGGTCAAGGGTATAGGGGGCTTGAAGCGGAGATTTCCAACCGGAGGCTTAGCGAAGGGTATGCCAGGAAATTGTTCGGTCTCGCCAGCTAATCCAATTATCGTAGCCGCAGGCGAGGCTATAGTGACAGTTGGGGCAGGGGAAGCACCATGAGCCAAAGGTAAGAGGGCAAGGATGGCTGCTCCGAGTGGCATATAGGTCTTCATAGTCGATAAACGTTGCCCAAAACTTAGCAAAGAATCATGGCCCAGACACAAAATGAAAGCTGAAATGATCTACAACATTTCCATTTCTCCTTACTCCAGGTTATATAATTCTCACCCAGCGTTTTATAACGCAAGAGCATGCCTTCGTTTGGCCTTCCACTTGTCCGAAGAATCCCATATCTTTCGGATCCATCCTGTGTGCAAATATCAGCAGCTGGTGTCGAAAACAGCCACTAGCAAGCCAGACGTACGAAAATACGCAGTTGAATTGAAACTAGGCCCGGAAGGAGGGAACTTCCTCAGTAGTCCGTATGGAAGCAATCCACATGATTGGCTGTGGAGCCCTCGGGCCAAAGGCTTCAGTTTCAGGCCGGGATGGCTAGTATGGATATCAGCAGATAAGGTCCTCCACTGGATGAAACGTGTTTTCCCCTCGTGAGGAGTTAATGTCGATCGGAAAGACTGATATTACACTCAGCAGCAGGATGATTCAGCAAATACCCAATCTCTTGCCTGTTCTGTATAGTAATTGGAGTATTCTCAGAAAAGCAGCGCCTATAACACACTAAACAACTTCTGAACAGGGGCCTACAGATATTTCTTCAATGAATCATCGATCGCTGGGATTGGTTCAAGGCCCTCATGAGTACTAGTCGATACTGATATCCTTAAGTCCGACAGTTAATCTTACATGACCTTATGTTACCCCCTGATTCTGGAGGCGATACTTCACCCGCTACATCCAGGCCCGGCAACGTGGAAATTATCCTCAAAGTACATTCCTCTCCAGCCTGTGACACCCTGACCATGTAGAATACGGCGCACGCTTGGTTTCCTTTTGAAAAGGATTTAGATAAAGAGACTGCTCCATTCCTGCGTAAGATTTTGGTGGTTTCACTAGGTCTCAGTCACAAATTTGCTAACGTCGAATCCAACCGGATAGAGTCGCAACTCCCCAAATTGCGAGGTCTAATTTCTACCACCGGTATCCCACCGGTCATCCCACAGCTTGTACTCCACTTGATTATGAATTGGCTAGTGTTACAAAACGTGGATAACTAGTTACTGTATAACGTAATTCACAAGCGGGCCGCTCACCTCTAAAACACATAGTAAATGCGATTTTTCCAGGTCACGATGACGATGATAATGATGATGAATTCATTTGCCCGATGTATCTCGTTCTAAATACATGCTGCTATGCGGGAGTGCTGTCAGGCCAGCCGACAGCGAAAAAGGGTTATCTCCAGCCCGCGTGACCTCTAACTAGTCGTCTAGCGGTGAAATACGATAGAATACGAAAACAGATTCCCTAGCGCCCCCCTCAGATTGCGCTAAACTTAATTCGGTCAGCCAAAGTCCCCACCATCTTTTTTATGTATTCTGGTAGATCAGCAAAGTTGCCGTAATTACAGATTCCGGCATTGGGCAGACCATACTTGCCGAAACGCCCTGGGGCCATAACACTGGAATTCGAAAGCAGATTACCACCAGATAAGTTTGCTTCTCAGTCTGTACTTATAAAGACACATGCTTAATAGGGTACTGCGGTAGTTTTCTCTGTCGATAGAAATCACAACGGTTCCAAAGCCGCGCGCCACGAGGGCAGCAATCCAAATAACGGCTGCAAGGCCATTGCAGGCCCTAACGAGGTTCCAAGTTCGTTTATGAAGTGACACAACACATATGTACGTACATTAATACATAGTTGTTGCATGCTGCATGTCGTTCGTTAGGGGTCAGCGTAAATGAAATCATCCATTAATCCATCCAGCTGTAACGCCTCCGCTCTTAGAACCCCCATGTCAATCTGCGTTTTTCAGATATGATTGATATATGTTATTTCAATCGATGAAAACTGATGGCGTCACATACGCCAACCGCACAGGGAGCAGTGGAATGAAGTAGATCGCTGTCACAACTGTGAGAACGACGGCGGTAATATTGACCGTGATTTGGAACTGTCTAGTCAGCATTATCCTTATACTCCAATTGTACGTCGAGGCTTGCCTGTAAAAACTTGGCCACAGCATCATTCACAGCCATTCCCCACGCAACCGCTGTAACAATAGAGCTGAAGTTATCATCTAGAAGAATAATTGAGCTCGCCTCCCTAGCAACCTCAGTAGGCTTCATCAGGGCCCACGAATGGGCCGAGGACTTCGGCCCATGGCCCAACCCACGGTGGGCTTGGGCCCTAACCACCAGCCCAGGACCCAACCCTCAGCCCACGATGGGCCCCCATTGGGGGCCCATAGAAGCCCATTTTTGCATAAAATCGAGGCCTTGGCGTTCATATAACTGCTGAATCATCAGATTAAATAACTGTTATTTTCGCCGTTCTGGTTCTAACTCTCATTACCAAGATTTCCTTGTCTAATCTAGATGAAATTCAGGTCAATATCTACATGGTTCAAACTGAAGCAGTCGGTTATTAGTTCATTATTACTTCAATCTAGTAGTAATGGTATTGTGTGGATGGTCGCAAGAGTTGTGTGGTCTAAACCTCTAGAAATATATTTTATACGTCAAAGCCAGTGTATCTTCCATGCTGAATAGATCATACTAGGGACTTCTTATTCTATATGTGGTGGATATATAATCTGTAACATTATTGCATGAATCGTTATATTCTATACCCACTGATTCTCTTCTCTTAATGTAAATTAATATCGAAAGTAGGTGATAAGATGAATTAGAATTTATCGGCTGCTTTTACTCTTAGGGTGAAATGAGGTCCTTGAAGATTCCCGAGGTAGCCATAGGCTAGGAATGGGCTGGGAATGGGCTGGGAATGGGCTGGGAATGGGCTATGATGGGCTTTAATGGGTTATTAACGGACTCTAGTGGGCTATGATGGGCTCTGGTGGGCTATGAATGGGCTCTGGTGGGCTATGAATAGGCTCTGGTGGGCTTTGATGGGCTTAGCCCACTAAAGCTCGTGACATTCAACCAATTAGAGACTATCTTGATATATCAGAAGTACTTTTTCCCTGAACTCAGTGTTTACTTCTAAGTCAACACGTTTCTTAGCTGTGGTAGGTATCCTCTTTCTCCTTCCCTACCCTTTCCCTTACCAGTGCTTCATTACAAACCCTTATCATTTTACTATCATGTCAGAAAGCCAGCAATCTGACTTCGCGTCTTCTCTTTACGACGGAGATATAGATACCCTTACTTATCTCGCGCCTTTAAATCAACCAGTCACTCCAGCTCCCTCTAGCAGTCAACAAACATTTGATGCCTTTGACTCTGAATTCCTCCGTCCAGTTATCCCCCTTGCGGTTCCATCTTCTCTTACACGCGTTGGCCCCGACCGAAGAAAAGCATTTGTTCTTTACGACGAAATGACTCATAGTGATTGGGTGGACTGGTGGTTACAGACCGACTATGGAAGAAAGAGCAGGATACATTTGGATTCAAGTCATCAGTCAGATATTTGGGGCCATTTTCACCAGGTGGCACATGGAATAGATGGTGCGCCAAAAGTTATGTGTAAACCCTGCGGCCAGATTCTTGAGCATCCTTATTCTCTCAGTAAGGGAGCTGATGGGAAGGACCAGCGTCATGGCTTATCGACGATGAAAAGACATCTCACAACCGCTGGATGTCAGAAAGCTAATAAAGGTCACAATGCAGAAATCACTAAATTTCTTAAGAAGGGTGTAGGTTACACTATGTATGATTATTATTATTGCTTTGCTAATTCAATTTGGCTACTTTAGGATAACACTCCGACCGAAGCTACTTTTTCACAAGAAGGCTGGGAAGAAGAGATCTTATCGTTTCTATCTATGAATCGGCTTCCATTTCATCTCATTGAGCACCCAACGTTTAAGAGCCTAATCAAAATGGCTCGCTCTGCCCCATCTCCTCCTACGATTCCCTCCGCAATGACTATCCGTCGTCGACTAGAAAGCCTAGTTGAGGATCGACAACAGCGTATTCTTCGAATGCTTCCTGCTAGTTCTAAGCTATCTATCGCGCTTGACTGCTGGACCTCCCCATACTCTCAGGCTTTTATGGCGATCACTGGCTATTTCATCGATGCTGATTGGGTATATCGAGGGGTGCTACTTGATTTCAAACCTATTTATGGGGCGCATACTGGTGCGAATTTGAGTAGTGTCCTTATGGAAACCCTCGTGAAGCATGGGATAGAAGACCGGGTGTTTGGTTTAAATACGGATAACGCATCAAACAATAAGACATTGGTTGATTCGCTCCAGCAAGCTTTATCGGATGGTGTTCTTATTATCCAAATTCCGTGCCTTGCACATATTATCCAGCTCAGTCTTAACCAGCTTCTTGGTCATATTAAGGCAGTTCCATTAAACGACACAGCCGAGACAAAGTGGACAGAGCAACAGTCTTCAATGGCCCAGGCAAACGCACAACACCGGGAGAGAGAGATCTTCTACACATTGAATAAGATCCGCTATCTTGCGATCTACGTGAACGCAAGCCCTCAGCGTCGGGAGACATTCAATAATCTCCAGATTAAGGACCCAAAGCTTATGCCAATTCAGGATGTGAAGACTCGATGGAATTCAACATTCCTAATACTTCGTCGTGCAAAGCGGCTCCGCGCTATCTTTACACCATTCTGCGTTGAGTATGATCGTGAAGATCTATTACTTAATAATGAAGAATGGCGTCAAGTAGACTATCTTCTTTGCATCACTGAGCCATTCTTTGACTATACTACTCAGCTTTCAAAGACTCGGGATATCACTGCGCATTATGTGTTTAAAGTTTACAATAAACTCTTTGAACACCTTGAACAGTCAATGGAGCAGCTCCGGCGGAAGTGTATCCCATGGAAAAAACATATGCTTAACGCACTTGAAGCTGGCAGATTAAAGCTAGATGAGTATTACTCTCAGACTGATAATGTCCGAGGGCATATCTATGCGGTCAATACAATGCTTGCGCCCGTTAACAAGTTTCAGTTTTTTCTGACTGATGATTGGGATCAAAAGTGGCGCGACACTTATCGCAAATCCTTTCAAGAAGCTCTCGCTCCATACCAGGATCGTCTTTCTGATACTCAAGGCTCGCAAGAAGGCTCTCAAGTGGCAGTCAGGCCAAGTTCAAAACTTGATAAGATGTTGAATGGAAGCAAAAAGCAGCCAAAGGCAGCCGCTGATGAAATGACACAATATCTTGACAGTGGTATGTTTTAACGGAATTCAGTTTTATATAGTATTAACCAATTAATAGATACAATTGATATTGGGCCTCTTGCGTTCTGGAGAGAAAATCAAGGCCGCTTTCCGGCGATTGCAGCTCTTGCGCGAGATGTCCTCTCAGTTCCAGCAACCGGTGCTGGTGTTGAACGGCTGTTTAATACTGCTCGAGATATCTGTCATTATCGACGAGGAAGGATGAAATCCGAAACGATTCAAGAGCTAATGATGTTCCTTTGTACTTCAAGATTTGATCTTGAAGAGAAGGAGTCTCAGTGGCTCGAGAAATTCTTCTCTCGAGAAGAGATTGAAGCAGCGAAGGAAGAGAAGGATGAACGGCTTGATGAGGTTGAAGTCGAACCAATCAGTGATACTGAGGAGCTAAATGATAAATTGGATGATGAGATAATGGCACACGTAGCTCCTTCTCATGCTGTCGAGGACCATACTGAGCCTAACCTGCCAGAGAATCACACTCAAGTACGGGCTTCAGGGCGGAAGCGTAAGAGTCGTGAGGATGATGCCTTTGAGTATCATTAACTAGTGATAATCAATTTAATCTATTCATCTTGAATCCAAGCTCTAATCTTATTCCTAATTTAGTCAACAGTTCCTAATTGAAAAGCGAGATGTAAAGTAAATACTCAATATTACAGCCAGAATCGCATAAATTATGCAGTCAGGAAATCTAGGCATGTTTGTACTGTTTGTGGCCCAATTGGGGGCCCAGGGCCCATTATGGGCTAAAAGACTCGGCCCACGGCCCACTATGGGCTATAGAACTCGGCCCAAAGCCCAACCCATTTGTGGGTTGGGCTGGGTTGGGCCTGGGCCGACGTGGGCTCTGATGAAGCCTAAACCTCAGTCCCACTTAGTCCCATCGAGAACCCTACGTCCGCAGCTTTCAGTGCCGGGCCATCATTCGTCCCGTCCTCAGTCACAGCTACGATCTCCCCAAGGCGCTTGAGATGTTTTACTACAAGCTCCTTGTCATCCGGCGAGGACCGCGCAAGTATTTGTAATTTGGGGATGACAACGGCCAGCTCATTCTCTCTTAGATTCCGCAATTCAGTCCCCTCCATCGCGATGCCGTCATTTGTCTTAATACCGCATGCTTCGGCGATTGCGAGGGCCGTGTGTATGTTGTCGCCTGTCCTTGTCAATGCGTGCACGTCTATACTCTGTAAAAATAAAAGAACGAACCTGTAACCATTTTGACCTGAATCCCGGCTGCACGACATGTCTGAATTGCTCAGCATCGCAACCACCGCCACATGCATGCCCCCGTCCGGCGGTCAACGCAAGCGGGCTCTCTCCCAGGCAAATTTCCGTGTCCTGGTCCACTTTTTCATGCGCTCACAAAGCCTCCACAGCGCCTGGGTGGCCCTCGTGCAGCACACGCCAAGGGTGTATCGCCTTTGTCATCTGTCAAGATGACCTGGATGAGTTCTTACCCCAGCGGCAACCGTAAAAGCTCGGTGTGGCCTTAAATGGGCGCATGAGCAAGGGAGGGGGTAACACTTTGCGAGGTGGAGGGATTGGTTTCAATTCCCAGACTGCTGAGTAGCGTTTGCGTCAACGGTAGATTCCCATCGCGCACAGCCAACCCCAGGAGTATCTATAGAACCCCAATTGTCTGCCATGTGCAGCGAGAAGAGCTCAAGCAAAACCAGAATCGCCGGTCAATGGCCATCCCTCTGAGCAAACTGGCAATGAATTAGTAGGAGAGTGTGAGCGCATGGGCCTCACTGGAGGCTCCAGGGATATGAAAGAAATAGATCGTTCGGCGGCAACTACGGGCCGCCCTCGTTGGCCAAGAGCGCAACGTGACCGACTGGTTCCATGGTACGGAGGGTGCACTAAGGCGTATTAATGCAAACAGGAATCCTTTGGTCGCAGTAGTGGGAATGAGTGTAGGCACTTGACTACCCCATGTGTTGTCGTGCGATGGGCTGAGCATTGCCTTCGTTGGAGGGGGGGAACCTCGGCCCTGCTGTTGTTCCGTCGAGGCTAGCGTCGAGCCATCCTCGCACGGGCGTCGGTTCGACAAATCAAAGCAATTATTTTCCGGCTAGCTTGGCGCCGATCATTTAAAAGAAAGCATTATGTTTCTTACTTTGTGATGCAACTATGGCCATTCGTCCGTACAATAAGATATCCCTATCTTGTATAGTAAGTGCGCGCTAGTTATGCGTGGGACCTTTGTCAGGTTGGCGAGCGAGGCTTTGCCGCGAAATCCGAGTCGCATCCCTTTAGGGTCGAGCAACGCAGCTGCAACTTCTTTCCTTTCTGAAAGCCGTACCTCGCCGCTTGAAGTCCTTTTCAACCGTTCATTTTCCATGAGTTTTATAACTCTGTTGTACCAGTGATAGGTAAAGCCAATGTGTTATATTTTACGAGGCTAATCCTCTGTTTGTAGAACGATACCGTCACTGTCTCGTGCGCTGATGAATCTTCTCAAGCGCCATGAACCCCGCTCGCAGAGCCTCTTGCTCGTTCCTCCCTCTAGCTCATGACGCACGGTCAACGCCACCACAACCAGTCCAGCCGTTCCCAGAAATTTGGACAATCTCGAATTTGCTAGTGGTTGGTTCGCTTTACGGTACTTTTTCGTCCACTTGCCCCAGCCCACGTAGCCCTGTGCCTAAGCGCCGAGTTATCTTTGCGATTGCTATGACCAGGCAATTGAGAATACTTAAAGCCTTTATATACCCTCTGTAAAGATGTCCGCTGAAATTGTTCGAAATGCCTCCGCCGCCCCTGTCTCCCATGCCTACTCGTCGTTCTGAACGCTTGGCTCGATCCGCCATGTCCTCGCAGGACAGCTCCCCTGGGGAAGGAGTAAGTCGATGTTGATTGCAACACAGGTCCCTATATCATGGCCCTAACCGGACAACCTCTAGCGCGGAATGGGGCTTGCCGTATACACGCGAGATGTTGACAGTTCTCGCATAACACGTTCATTCCTCTTCCGAGATGAGCTCGTCGAACAATATTCAGAAGATACTCAAGCGAATATTGGACGAGGTGAGAGTCACTATTTATTGCTGCTAGATCTACCAAGTCTTTCTGACATTAATTTGCCCAGACGACCGGAGTGTCTGTACTTTAATCGAAGATTGTGAACACCAAGAACGCTCATCACAGGCCTGCCACTGCTACAAAGACACGGAGATTGACGAAGCGTCCATCGTCTATAATGGGAGCATTGCTGGAGGGGAATCATCTAGGACTATTGGAAAGCATCATTTGAATGGGGGCACGGTGAAAAATGGAAGTAAGCTTGTAAACGGCAACCTTGACAGAGAGACATTTCTCGCGTTCTTCTGCAATAATTCGAACGAGCGGCCGGCTACTTCGGGAACTTGAATAAGAGGATTTCAGGCGGTCTTTAAGAGAATCTTTTTAGTCCGAACCTATTTACGTCTTCCTTTTTTTCGCGTCATTTTGTGTAGGGTTTGTCTTGATAATTCTTAATTTCAAGTCGCAGGCAATGCAGTCTAGCTTTTCTCGCATTGCGTGATGATCATCTGGATACAATTTACCACCTACATGTTAGTAAAACTCTTCGTATAACTAACTAGTAAGTTAACGTAAACCCTAAAAAAATAAACAAATATCTCTTACCGAAATCGACTTTTTACGATATCTCCGGGTCCAGGCCTGATGAAGCCGTGAGGATACGTTGAAAGATAATCCAACTCCACGCCTCATCTATCGAGACCGGATTTAACTAGGCGCGACCGTGATAGCGTTAGTAGTTGAGCTAAATAGTATTCTGCTACCCTATGGTTAACGTAATTCCCGGTTGACCCGCGCACCCCCCCCCCCCCCCAATAGTGTAGAACTTCAACATCGATCATCTCTCCATTGACACCCATACAATTTTCTATTACTGACGATTCTTAGAATAATTGGTCTTATGGCCAATCCCCATACACTCACTACACCTAGAAGGTGCCCTAGGTCATGGTAGAACTCCCTGACTAGGTAATTACCCCTATATATGCGATACTGCCATATCCGCTTCTACTTACTGATTTAGCTATTTAACTAACTAATTATAGACCTTCTTTATCCGATAGGCCACCCTTATAGGGTATCTGTTTATACGACCGATTACGTTTCTACCCCAGATGATTTCAAATCGTTCGAAAACTGGGCCTCGACATCCCAATACAAGACGGTCGTGGAAACGTATGAGCTACCAACTCCCCTTCTTATTTCTTTTTAAAAACTGGCTGACATTGGCGTAGCTGGGACAGAGAAGCATGCAAATACAAGATAGCAGAGCCGGTAGAGACCCGCAGTGGTCTGGACGACTATGCTGAATATGCATTCATTGTCCGTGAACGTGTTGGTCCGTAATGTCTTTGCGCAGAGGACCTAACCAATACTAATTGCATGATTAGAACGGAATTCTGAGGAGGTGACGCCCTACATAGACATCAAATCGGAAGGCCTACGTGACATCCTGCGTGTGGTGCTGCACGACATCAAAGCTATTAGCCTGATGGAGGACAAGCCATCGGTAATTGAGACCGAGTGAAATCTCGAAAAGAACGCTGACGTGGATTTAGATCGAGCAAAACGTCCTTTTCCATTTCCTCCCGGAGCTCGACGGATGTGTGGAGCTCTAGTCTTATTTGAAAACCAATGAGAATCATTCACGCCACAACTGGTCTGATCTACCATGTCTAGGCCGCATACGGATGAAACGGATGAGAATGTCAGCAAGGGAGAGGGGTTTGTCATGATGCGGAAGCATTCCGTGCCGATGATGAAATCAATTGACGAATCACGAAGACGATGATGGTATTTACCTGCCCCGGGATTATTTAAGGTCTTGAATATCCCGCAAGCTCCTCAATTCATCACTCTAACAACAACCTCTGAATAATCAAATGGTTCTCAAGCTGCACGGATTCCCCCTCTCTACTTGCACCAATAGGGTGCGCACCGTTCTTCTGGAGAAGGGTTTGGAGGCCGAGTTCATTCCTGTTGATCTGAGCAAGGGCGAACAAAAGTCTGAGGCATACCTGAACGAGCTGCATCCATTTGGCAAGGTCCCGGTTCTCCAGGATACCGAGACTGGTGTGCAGGTTTTTGGTAAGCGCCATGTCTAGCCTTCGGATGCTTGACGCAGTGTATCCACGTGATCGACATGCTAATCCACACACAGAGAGCAGAGCCATTGCCCAATACATCGCTACCAAGTACCGTTCTCAGGGAACCGATCTGTACCCCGCCGAGACTGATTTGAAGGCATTCGCTCTCTTCCAGCAGGTATGAAGCCCAGTAGTGCCTGCAAACCATTGCAATGTATACTGACTGCACAACCACAACAAGGCTGTCTCCATCGAGCAGGCCTATTTCGACCCCATCGTCTCGCAAATTGCATTCGAGAAGGTTTTCAAGCCCCGAAAGGGTCTCGGTGCCACCGATGAAGCCCGGGTTCAGGCTCTCTTGGGTCAACTAAATGCTGTCTTGGAAGGTTATGAGCGCGTCCTCTCCAAGCAGCCCTACCTGGCTGGCGATAAGGTGACACTTGCAGATCTCTACCACCTGCCTTATGGGGCCTTTGTCGAGCAATTTGGTGCTGCGGAGGTCTATGCCAAGTATCCTGCTTTCAAGAAGTGGTGGGACAGCTTGAAGGCAAGGGAGTCATTGAAGAAGATCACCGCTTGAGTTATCCCAGCGGAGGTGCAGTGCATTACAGCAAATGCTTCCATGACTGGTATTTTCTAGTTTTAGCAGAAAAGCCAACGATTGAATGAAAGTTTATTTTATGAAATGCGAATGGTAGAAAAGCGCCAATCCCTCGTTTTATAAAGGCTTCTCGGGTGATAGCAAGGGATGAAGTTATTGTACAGCTTCATTTTAGCGGTTATTTAATAAATGCCACGTAATAATCGTTAAAGCATTGTTAAAAAGTGGTTTGACAGTCTACCTACGTAAATAAGTGGATGGCCACAATGTTACATTGAGCAGTTCAGTCAACTAAAGGACGAACTCGTGAGGCGAGGAGATATCACCAAGACGTTATGCATAATCACCATATTACGGAAGTAGAATGGCCTACGCCAAGATATGTAACCCCCGCTAATCCCGTCGTCTACAACCTTTAGGTATCCATCCTTTATTGTACGTCGTGCTTTTTCAATAAATCCTATTACCTGGAAAGAGTTAGCTATCTAATAATGACTCCCGTCAAGATAGATATAATACGACTGCCCTTCTCTATATCGTTTTTGGTAATAGGATGCTAGACTCAGCCTGGCAATGACTTCTCGTAACCTGATTTCGCTTTAGGGTGAAGCATTATTCTTGATCCTTAGGGGTGAGTTCTTTTGGATGATATCTTTGGCTAGACAATCTCAACTGATTCACCTCGATTAATTTACTCTCAATTAATCACTCTCGATTAATCACTCTCAATTAAATCACTCTCAATTAATCACTCTCAATTAATCACTCTCAATTAATCACTCTCAATTAATCACTCTCAATTAATCACTCTCAATTAATCACTCTCAATTAATCACTCTCAATTAATCACTCTCAATTAATCACTCTCAATTAATCACTCTCAATTAATCAGCCGGTTGATTGTGATCAAATGGCACCCCGCCCGGTTCATCAAAATTATTGTTCAAACTTCGATTTGTCCTCCCGAATTGGTTTAATCTAATCTGAATTCAGCTAATCCATCAAAAGAGAACCCTCAAATATGAGATATTTACCTGCATAAGATATCAAACTTTCGGTCGTATTATCTGTGATCTGCTCATTAATTTAGATATGACAAGATTTTCAGATGAGGAAATATGCGGACTGGCCTCCCACAGTGGTTCAGAATTTGCTTTCTCCATTGTCCTCACTCCGACGCCCGTTGTGGAGATTAAACCCACCCCTTTCTCCTAGAGTATCTTCTTATATACTTCTCAATCCCTTTTTTTGAGTGTTCAGAAAGATAAATTCAAACAAAATATCGAGTCTAATTAACAACTTCTGTCGGTTTCCGTATTATAAATACCCAGCTCCTTCCATACTTGCCAATACTGAACACAATGTCCAGAATGGCCGAGTGGAACAACTCTGGTAATTTTACTGATCTACTCGAGAGTAATAAGAAGTATCTACGAGGTGAAATCAGGTCGCCTCCTTATCATTTCGGTCCCATAGAGGCGGAGACACATAGCCTAGTTCCTTCTTTGTTAAAGCTACATGAACAACAAATTTTTACATACGACAGTCAACCATACTTACGCGAACGCACGAGAAGAGAAGGAGGTAGCTTTTACGACGTATGGCAAAGGCCTTATCTGCTCTTTCTTGTACTGTAGCAGAGAAAAACAATCCACAGAGACTCTTCCAAGAACTAAAAAGAAACAAAGATATAAAAGTGCACGTGCGGAGAGCTTCCTCGCCTGAAGTTGCTTTAAAAGGATTGTTCACTAAGAACAAGATTGTTAGTAAGGGCAGGACTGTGACCAAATTTCGACGTTTCTTGTTTCTGCGGCGATGGAAAGTTTTTACTTCCTTTGACCCTACGTCAGATATATCGGTGGAGGACATGTTTTGTCTGGAAGCTATGAAGCAAGCAAAATCATGGTTATTTGATGTTGTTGCGGCGTCGTGGAAGGATGTTGATATTGCAAGGATCCTTATAGATGCAGCTGATGCAGTATACGCATGAGTAACCAGCTAAAATCCTGAAACGTCCTCTGGTCCCAAGAAATGTGGATCGAATTTTTACAAGTCACATCATCTATCTTTGAATACCGGAATTTGTATGTAACCTTACTGTATCTATCGATGCAATGTATTTCTATCATTGTTTCCCCAAACTTACACAGCCGTAAGCTGAAGTGGGTTGGTTTATTTCGGATTCATTCCAGTTGCTGTTTAGTTTTCATGCCATCCGCTACAGATTTAGGGTCAGTATCGGCGGAGGACTACCGAGCAGCCGTGCAAATATTCGACTCGGGGATATTGTAGTGAGCCAGCCGACAAAAACGTCTGGAGGCGTGATCCATTACGATTTGGGTAAAGCGCTAAGCGGCGGTCAATTCAAGCGAACCGGAATGCTTAATCTACCGCCGACGGATTTGTATATTAGTCTAGCTGGGTAAACCAACTACAGTATTTTCGAAATCAGTTAAACCTCCATACTTTTGCGACTTCACTCCCGGATAATAAACTCTACTATCCTCTGGCCAAAACATGGGGGGCCGGAAAATATGCTCCATTTTTCTTTTCAGCAAAGAAGATGGTTGTTAGACATAGGTATTTTTTTTGAACCGTGGTTTGGGCTTGTAACATGAGCAACAATTAGACTGGATGATTTTGCTCTAATCTAGGACTAGTCGATTTCATACTGCGGAAATAATATACGTAAATGACACTGGTGAATGAAGTGGGCAAAAATTCACGGCACAAAAAGCATCTTCCTTTGTTGCTCAAAACGTGGCTCAAAACGTGGCTCAAAACGTTGCTCAAAACTTTGCTCAAAATGTGCTCACCCTACTTTTGAAACCCTGTTGGTGAGTTGAAGTCATGGCTTAGCATAATGAATGACTGGCAATTCATCGGCCGATTTCTTGGGTCCCTAGGCCATGCAATCTAGTTTCAGCGTCACATCACCTTGATTTAGGCGAGGCAAAAATCTTCCGATCTTAGGGGGAAGATTTCCTCTCCAAGGACGCAGAATTAGAAATTTGCCTCTAACTCTAGCTTCTACTACCCTTAGGCCTTAAAAAAAGTGACATCATTTTTCTTGCCTAATTAGAACGATATCAGGTCATATGGCAATTGGTGTAATTAGATTGCAGATGTGCTTTCCACCCAGCGATGGTGCTTATTTGAAGCAGTCACTCAGGCTGAGGCGGGTTGGGCGGCTGATACTTACAATACAGTCGGTTGGTTGGTTGATGTCATTTACCCTGACCCCTCGCAAAAAGCGATATGCAGGCTACAACTACTTTTTAAATACACGCTGATTGATCCCTGAGATCGTTCCAAACTTCCTGAGCGGTGAACTTTGAGCCTCACCTGGTAAAGCCTGTCGTGGCCTTGTTGCCATTTGCGGTATTAGGCTGCCCTCATGGCGCGGTTATATTGAGTTTCCATGTAAGCCGGCCAAGAGTTGTCCGCGGCTGGCTGCATCTCCGCCAGAAATCGCGAGAACGCTGGCAATGCTGAATTTAGAAATCTGGACAATGACTGTGCGGCGAATGCGGTGTTTGGACGTTTCTTTTTCCTTTTCTCGAGCTTAAACGGTGACGGTTTATTGTGAAAACGAAGGTGAAGATCTTCGATTGTGAGTGTGGTTTTCGGAGGGACAGATTGGTGGGATGTGGGTGTCGGTTGCGGTCTAGTTATAGTGGGTTGCTGGAGAACTGTGGCATATGTGGGTCGTTGGAGTGGAGTTGCGGAGGTAGTAGAGGTAGTGGCTGTCGATTGGAGAGGTTGAGGGGAGCGGGTTGAGTGAGGTAGTTGCGGCTCAAGCCTAGTAGCGGTCCGCTGGTTGGGCGCATTATTGAGGTGTGAGGTGGTGTGAGCCTCTTGTATCGCAGGTGCTAGATCTCTCGATTGGTTCTGGGACTGCGTACTGGCGGTGGGGGTGGTCGAATTGGATGGCTGTTTGTCTGAGGAGAGGTAGCGGTTGATGGTTGGGCGGCGCAGCGTGTCGGGTTTTTCAGAGGTGGATCTCAAGTCATGGCGGATGATTTGCCATATGCAGTCGACTTTGTGAAGTTGTTCCACTTCTTCGATAGAAGCTCGCTGGAAGGTGTAGAGAGGTGTGAGCGATTGGCAGGCAAAGCAGCACGCTGTGCCGCCAAACCCTGGGTGGAGCAGGAAATATAGACCATTCTCGGCTAGTTGAAGAGGTGTGATACTCGGGACCACTTGTCCTTGGAACGAGAGAGCTCTGGCGGAGGTAGTGGAGTAGGTGGTCGAGATGCGGAACAGAGGCTGGACGTTGCGATGAGGGGTGGTTGAGTCGGGTTGGGTAGCGGGGTTAGTGGGTTTGGAGATAGAGGATGGCGAGCGCAGGGCAGGGAATGGCCGATGGCCACTTCCAGCATCTGAAGGCTGAGAACTCATCGGCTCGTCCCCCATCTTCAGTCGTGTCTCCTTTGTCTCCTTTACAGTACGTTCGAAACGCTACAGGGTTGGTTGGTTGGTTGGTTGATGTCATTTACCCTGACCCCTCGCAAAAAGCGATATGCAGCCCTTTCACTTACAATACAGTCGTTCTCGAAATCGGCTTGACCGGTACACTCTTCGACTATCTTTCTCGGCCCCGCTGCCAAGGCTCTAGCGCAGAATATTTATTGGGCTGGACTCATTAAGCTGAGGGCCACACGGTTCAGATGTCACCGTTTAAGCTCGGGAAAGTCACGACGGGCCGCAACTTAATGAGGTGGGCTCAATTAATAATGAGAGCTAAGGTCTTGGCGGTGGGGCCGCGAAAGGGTTTCTCAGTGTGTATCGGTCAAGCCGATTTCGAGAATGACTGTACCAATAGTTCATGACTGAACAATACTGTATCGATCCGCCCGGTATCGTCGGTGAGTCCAGCATTGCTTCAACACCGGTCTGCATGCGTGTCTCCCATGGTGCTAACGTGAACGAAGTGATGGTTTCCAGTGTCTCCATCTCGATGTTTCTTAGCGCGTCCGCTACCTGGTACAGCGGTGAACGGTGGTATCTCCTGAATTTCTTGATGCAGGCTGTACTCCTACGGAGCGGATTGGTTTCTGGAAGGGTGTGGATGTCCGTCCACATTTTCACGGCCCTTCTCCAAAAACGGCGTTGTGCAGCGGCAATGTGAGCCTCTGCCTCCGCAACGCTGGTCGCAACTGTAAGAAACGTCCCTATAATTGCTTGCGCTCCCACCCTTTGAGTTCGGTTGATCGGTCCGCTAGCCTTGTCCTTGCAAGCGTGCATCCAGACGGTAGAAGCGTAGTCTACCACCGGGGCCACCATCGACGTGAATAGCTGGCGTGCAGTTGCTGGGGTTAGACCGCGAAGTCGCCGGAGCTCCATCGCTGCCTCCAAGCCTTTGGACGCTGCCCTCGCGATATGTTCCTTGTACTTGAGTCTTGTGTCCATGAGAACACCCAAGATCTTGACATGGTCTCTAGGCACCACGGGCTGTCCTTTGATTGTGAAAGATCCCTGGTCCGTTTTGTGAACCTTGGGAGCGAAGTGTATGATGGCTGTTTTGTCTGCCTCAAAGGTTGCTCCGCTCCTCTTCTCCCAGTCAAGTGCGTCATTGATAATTGTTTCAATACCTTCCCGATTACTCTGTGCCGTTGGTCCGGTCACCCACGCGGTAAAATCATCCACGAACGCGATTGCTCCGCCCTGGCTGTCGATCTGTCGTTGTACGAGATCTGCGTTAAAGAAGAGGAACAAGATCGGGGACAGCGGTGAACCCTGCGGCAGTCCAGCCTGTGGCAGGCTTTGGACTTCAGACAATTGGCCATTGATTTGGATCGTCGCCGTTCGTTCCGAGCAGAACGCCTCAACCCACCGGAGTAGATCCTCCGGTATACCTCGCGCTTTCATCCTCTGGAGCAGCCGTTCTTTGCACACTCCGTTGTAGGCTCCTTTAACATCAAAACTGATCAGGCTTAGTACCCGTCGACCGCGCCACGCCGTGTAGATTTGTTCTTGCAAAAACAAGAGTGCTTGCTCCGCGGACCGCTGCTTTCGGGCTCCGAAGTGGCTAGTTGGGAGCAGACCATGAGTCTCCACCGCGTGAGAGATCCTTTCTGCAACCACCGATTCTAGTATTTTCCCTAGTGTCGCGAGGAGTGAGATTGGCCTCCATGCTTTGGCAATGCTGTAATTGTCTTTGTTCGGCTTTTGAGCGGTATGATCTTCACGTGTCTCCACTGCCTTGGCAACGTGCCTCCTTCCAGTGAGGCTTGGAAGAGATCAAGAACCCTGTCTTTGACCGTGGGCCACGTCATCTTCCACACGATCACCGGCAGGCCGTCCTCGCCAGGCGCTTTCCAAGATTTTGCCGCCAACAGTTGCCGCTCCACCTCCTCCATCGTGATAGCTGGCATTTGTACCGGTGCTCTTTCTGGCCTCGTCCCTTCATCGTCAATAATCTCCGGCAGAGGCGGGAAGAACGTGGTCAGCAATTCTTCTGCTTGCCCCTTGCGATCGGTGGTGGTCGTTCCGTCTGCTCTCAGGAGCTGCGGAACCTTTCCAAACGCTGCGTCGTCTCCTGAATTCAGGTATTTAGCGGCTTTCCATATGTTATCGTTGTCGATGAGGAATTCATTCCAGTGCTTTTTCTTTTGTTCCCGGATAGCATCGTGGTATTGCTTCGCTGCGCCTTGGGTCATCTCTTCCAGATGGGGTACCTTTCGTCCCGCCCGTCGCTCCGAGCGGGCGTGATTTCTCCAATATGTGTATATTTGACGGAGCTGTGTCAAGTCATCTGTCCACCATCGCTTTGCGTGTGGTGACGGTTTGGCTTTCGGCGTTAAGGCATGCACCGCTTCCCAGACCGCGGACATAAGTCGATCGGTTTTTTGCTGCACGGTGCCCTCCAACGGAGTGGCGGCTAGGGTGTTCGCAATCCTAACATTGATCTCTTTCCATGGAGCGTTTTTCAGCAGGAGTCGTTCCGGATGCTTTGGGGGCGACCATGAGGCATCGAATACGGTCTCAATGGTGCAATGATCCGAACCATGCTCTGTCCTAGGTATGGCACACTTAACCATGGAGTCTGTTAGGTTTTCCGAGGCCAGGACGAGGTCGATCGTGGACTCGTAGTCCCCACTCTGTCCTGCGCCATGCCATGTCTTTGTGCCACGTTTGAGTAGACTGCTGAGTGCAAATTCGTTCATGAAGTCGATGACTGGGTCCGCTTCACCTTGTCTTGCCAAAGACACGTCGTCTCCTCCCCAGAGTTGATCATGACGGTTAAAATCTCCCACGATGATGATCTCCAACGGTGTGCCTGTGTCCCGCCGTACCTCTGTGATTGCTTTGCTTAGGTGATTGCACGTCTCCATCAATACCGCAGCATCTCCGCCCTCTACGTAGACTGATGCCATAAATATCAGGCGCTCGGGGAGGCGGATGACCGCCGCGGTTAGATCCGGCGACTCAATCGACACTTGCTCCGCTTCCACATCCCTATTAATCCAAAGCGTACTTCGAATTGCCCATCGGCCTTCCCTCCAGGTAGAGGGAACCAGTTTCGTCCATTTGTGATGTCCCATCGGGGTCGTCAAAAGCCGGCCTTGGATTCTCCTCATACTTTACGTGCTTTTAAATATCCCCCTGAATTGAGGTATTGTTTCTCCTCAAGTAGCGACACTGCCCTTCAGCGGAATTCTGCTTCGCAGAAGCTACATCTAGACGAGCGTACCAATCCTTGGAGTCTTTCCGTAGGGAATGAGGGCCGTCGGATCCCTACGTATATAATAAACGGTCCACGATGTACAAGGCAAATGATCATCTCGCGGATGGTGCTACCAGTGGTGATTTGGTTGCCGTCAGCGAATAATCGTAGTTCTACATCGCTATTGCCCAAAAAGAGAAGAGAATCCAAGAAGGTGTTCCAAATCAATACGATTCATCATTTCTAGCTACCGAGGGCGCAAAGGCAGGTTAGCGAATGCTTCCGTCAAGCCATATGTGTTCGAAAACACGTTTGGAGATTATCTGGAAGCAGAACCACAGAGACATTTCAGTAACGGAATTCTTCCCCGACAATTGCCTCACTGAGACACCACAACTTGTCTGCATTGACGATGTCAGAGGCGTAGTCCAAAACATTTTCTGGATTACAGTCATTCAAAAAAGACCCTGAGTGATCTGCATGACATTGTCAGCCCGTTTCCCACTAATTACTGCCAAGATTCGTGTACTTACCGTCCAGGGCGGGGTCTAGGGCAGCAGCAAGAGTAGTTGCGCAGCCTTGCCCGATGGTCTTTTCCTTCGGCATCTCCAGCTTCTTGCTTTCAAACAAAGCTCCCACAATTGGCCACGCTTCCTGATCCACTTCGGACAGGCCCGTTGTGTGTATCACTCCAGGATGCAAGGAATAGGACTTGATTTCCTTCTTCTCCAGTTTCTCGGCCAATGCAACGGCAAACAAAATATTCGCTGTCTTGGACTGGCCGTAAGCTTCCCAAGCGTTGTAGGTCTTTCCGTTGGAGAAGTTGTAATTGTCAAACATGACTGGGCTGAGCTGGTACATAGCACTGGCTACATTCACGATCCGAGCGCCACCACCAGACGCTTCAAGCTTTGGAACAAGGAGGTTGGTGAGCAGGAAATGACCAATATGGTTTGCACCCAGCTGGCTTTCCACGTTCTCAGGAGTGAGAGAAAATTTCACACCCATAATACCTGCGTTATTGACGAGGACGTCGATCTTAGAGACAGACGCATTGATCTCTGCTGCCGCGGCGCGCACCGATACGCAGGACAAGAGGTCAATTTTGATAAATCGAACAATGGTCGAGGGGCTGATACTGCTGATCTCCTTGATGACTGGGGAAACTTTCTCCTCGGAGCGCCCAAGAAGGATGATCTCCGCAGGATTGGCGGCTGCTAGGCAGAGGCATGTGTGGGCTCCAAGTCCTCCATGACTGGCTCCAGTAATCACAACTAATGGCTTCTCAGCAACTTGGAATCGAGCAGCACATCGTTTCCATTGCCCACTATAACGGAAATCCTGTTGTTGCCAGGACGGAAGGGTTACTTACATGTCTTCCCGGTGACTCGATCTGCTAAGGCAGCAACCACTTCCGACCCAGTGGTCGAGAAATTGAAAGCAGTCATTTTCAAGGGCGTAGGAGGTAGTAGTACAACACAACCAAGTCGAACGGGGAAAGGTATCAGCTATCCGTAAAATAGCAGTCAGTGTCAACCGGTCACTCAGGACCGACCTCGAGTTATTTATACGTGTTCTGCTCGTTCACTTGGCTCAATAACTATTACGAAGTAACCCAGTGATAACTACATTTCAAAACACTACATGGCTGTTGCCCGATCAGTAATCAATACAGCGCCAAATTGGTGGGCTGGGATTCTTGATACACCTGCATTTCCAATTACTATTGCTGTCGGGTCACAAATTTGTCCGGCTCCGAACTTGTGCTAGGGTTCAACCCCTCGATTTCTCATCAACACCCCACATGAAGGCTAAAGAAAGCATAATCCCAACGCGGCTGAGTGGAGTGCCGATGGTGGGAGACCGACGGGTGGCCGATGGGAGGCCGATGGGAGGCCGGTGGGATACCAAATTGGTTTCGGAATAAATTCGTATCTCGCTGGCTATTTGAAAGGCCTTCTACTCACACTAATAGATTGTCGACCAGAGAATATAGACATCCTGAATGACGCATCGACCAGACTTCATAATAGCATCTCCGTATCCGCCTCACTTTCCTGACGAGCGCCTGGGACAAAAGACAAGCTTAAACGCAAAAGCAAAGTTTCAGATACAGGCAGCAAATCCAATGGAGGGCCTCGTGGAAGGGAGTATTATGATTCGATCACTTACTTCCACCATGACGCTACCGCAGAAAGTAGACAAGCGCGAAACTCGCAGTCCCATATTAAACGGCAAATATCTGGATGAAACGGATGCCTTCTGATGGAGATGGAGAGTCCCCTTCGGTAGACTCCTGTTTGGCAGGCCCTGGGCCGTTTGTCCTGCTGGCCTATAAGAACTCTTTTTCTCCCCAGTCTTCTTGTTCTCTCTTAGAGATCTCTAGAGATATCAAGACTTCAGATTGCTTCCTGACTGCTTCCTCTCGGGTAGTCACCACGCCTTGTTCTTCGATTGTCGATCTCTTACGATTACGAGCAATAGATATCATGATTCCCCAATACAAGCAAGTTGTTTCATTCTTATAGAGCACTTTTTTTAACATGTAATTCCATTAGCCCTCCAATAAGGTCTTGAGCGTATCCGCAGGTGTACACTTTGGAGCAGCAATCTTCAAGATCTCTGGGCTGGTCGTAGAAGCCGAGCATTTGCCTTCCCACGCTGTCTCGGGTGCCCGCTTGATTGAGTAGATGACGTTCTTCGATTCCTTGGTTGCTGCATACTTGTACTCGTACATCATGTCGATGAACGAGACGCCCATGTAACTAACATCCTTGACGGGCGTACTAATGTGCTGCTCAACCTTTGCAACAATCTGCATCCCATTTATATCCTCGGGTCCATTCAGAACGTATTTGGCCTTGTTATGGGTGGAAGTGTCGTCCAGAGACAAGAGATGAGCTGCAATAGCACCAATCTCGTCGGGATCGATAACGCCGACGGGTGCGTCCTTTGACAGCAGCAACCGAAGTGTATCCTGCTGTCCAGTCTCACGGAACTTTTTGATGAAATCCACAGCAGGGGACATGATGAGCGGCGAGAAGATGTTCGGCTGAAGGGAGGTCCACTGCAAGCGGTCGAACTCGGGTGAGCCGAGGAGAGCCTCGATGGCCCAGTGCTGCCGGGGATAGTAGGCGGGACAGTCCGGGCGGACATTTGCAGCCGTAGTTGAGATGCGCACGACATACTTCACGCCGGCATTGAGCGTATTGAGGTGGAAGGTCGACTCTTCGGCGAACTGGCTGGGCTCGACGTGTGATGCAATGAACGCTCTGGCAACTTGGTGTTCGTGGAGCCAGTCCGCGGTGATCTCAGCCCAGTTCTGCTCGATAACTTCAACTCCTGGCAGTTTAGCAAGCTCGCGCGCTACCGGACTGTTCGAGGAGCGAGTGAGAGCAATGACGCGGTGCCCGGACAAGGAGCTGCTGGATTGAAGCAACGCCGGCAAGTGTTTGGGCGACCGCTCGGCCAGTATTACCGGTGGCGCCGACGATAAGTATGGAAGGAGTCATGATTCCGAAGGCCACAGAGCTAGATTGGAAGGCAACTGATCCACGGCGAGGGGACGTGATTTCCGAGGTATTTATACCGGGACTTTGCCTTAGTAAATCATCAATTAATAGCTAACAGCAATAATCAGGAATTCTAACACAGGATAAGAGTCAATGTACAGGCAGAATTACTAATTGCCTCCCACGCCTGCCCACGCCGCCCAATCGGCATCACTCAAGGCTGTGCCCTTTGCAAAATTTCTGTAATCTCGCCGAGGCATTTGTTATATCTATAATCTGACTGCGACTCACTTGCTTTTAATATCGATAGCCTTTTTCAGTTGAAGCGCCTCAAAGGGTGTCTTATCGGAAGCGGTGGGAGACTGAGTGGGAGACCGGGTGGGAGACCGGGTGGGCGGTGGAGTTACGCTGTCGACCCGAACAACCCCGGGAGCTCAGCGATGTCTCATCTCTTTCGAAACGCTGATTTTGAGAGTCATGTTTACCGATGGGAGGGTTCGGAAGCGAACTCGAACTCCATTTCCATCCGAGTCCGTCGGACTCTTTCGCACACGACACGTTCCGATGCCGATTTCCCAGCTGCAATGCTCGGTACCGACGCAAGGAGCATCTAAAGCGCCATGAAGAATCAAATCACGCTCAGCAGCAGGACTTTGTTTGTTCCTCATGTGGTCGCCAGTTTAAACGAAGGTACCTGCATAGTTACATTTAATCTTGCTCAAAATCAATTCTGACCATAAAATGGTGGAATTAGTGATACTCTTCGGCGCCATGTTCAAAAACAGCATAAAATCACAGAGCCTCTCACTCGCGCGCGCCGAGCTTGTGCAAGTTGCCATGCAAGCAAGAGTCGGTGCGAAGGGGGCTTTCCATGTGGGGAATGCGTTCGCCGCAATGTTCACTGTTCTTTTCAAGACATTGATGCTAGTGCTGCAGAAAAGCAAGAGCAACATCCTAGCTCCTTGATCCCGCGTTCATCATCTTCCAACCAGAAAGAGTCACAAATATACTATCTGGAGAAGAGGAAGCAGTGTGTCCATTATTATTTTGATGTATTCCACCCCTTTTGGCCTTTTATCCATAAAGCAACATTCGATGTACACCAGGAAACCCCACTACTTCTACAATCAATAGTGGCTATAGGCATGTGGACATCGGGAGAACGGTCTACGCAGTCTGCGGCGGTGGAACTTCACAATAATCTTGATTCTGCGATTCGAGATCAACGGGTACGTCGAATCAGGAATCTGGGATATACTCGATTTGCTAACTTTCAAACCATAGGAGAAATGGGATGCCTCAGAAGCAGAGGGGGCATGTAGCACCTGCTTCTGGCCAATAGCGACGTACCAGGCTATCCTATTACATGTTATTTTTTCGGTTCTCGTTAAGAGCGAGAGAGCTGTCAACCTCGACCTGAAAGCGTCTATTTCTGCAGCTGATCTAACATTACTCGAATCGCTTGTTGGAAGCTGTCGAAGACTGGGCATGTTCTTCTATCCGAACATACTTGCCAAGTATAAGGAATCTGACCTGCCCGGGTTTGTCTGGGTAGGGGTTGAGGAGATCAAGCGATTCAATATAGCACTGTATAAGCTCTGTGCGAAACTGAGCAGCGAAAGTCCGAATGACAAGCCTTTACTGCCTGCTGGTGAACTTCAATTCCCACTGCCAAGCAACGATTCCCTGTGGAATTCCGTTGAACGACATGAATGGGAAGCTTATGCCAAGTTGGAGAATACGGTTTCCTTGAGCGACGACTTTCAGGCAAAGTGGATTTCCAATCTTGCAGATGTATTAGGATTCTTTGGTGTATAACTAAACAAATTGACCTTTTGCTTCTGAGTTGCCCGCAACAGTCTGATGGTCCTGTTGCTTCAAGTCTTCTCTTTTTTCGTGAAATCACTTATACCGTCCTTGTAAACCTCGACAATGATTTCTTGTAGTAACGATATTGCTCTGAAGAGAGCATCTTTTTCCGCTAAGGCCTCGGCAAAAGTTTTAGGTCCTCCATTCGCCCCTAGCCTAGGCAAGCCTCGAGCCAGGTAATTCACGACCTTGGAGGGCCCCTCGCCGTGATTACAGTTACCGGGATTTTGAGAACATGATCGTTGAAGCAGTCGATTATGAGACGGAAACGACACCATCACGCAAACGCAAAAGAACTGAAACGAAGGAGCCGTCTGCATTGGTACCAGTTCCCCACAAGGCCTTCTTCTTCTTTAACTAACAACAAACCAGGACAACGCCTTTGAGGAGCTCCCAAAGACAGTTAGCCATAAAATGCAACGGCTACAAGAGAAAAATCGCAAGCTTTGAGATGAACTTCGTCAGGAGAGGGAGAGACACCAAAAGACGGAAGAGGAACTTTCCCAACAAAGAGAAAAGCGTATTGTAGAGTGCAAGATCTGCTATCTGCAGCCAGATCGCTGGGCGTTCATTCTATGTGGGCACATGGTCTGCGAGTCATGTGCAGGAAAGTTTGAGACACTGAAGAGGTGTCCTACAGTATCTGTCGAGCAACAGTTACAGGATATGTCAGATGCTACCCCTTTGCAGGATAAAGCATGTATTTCGTGTTGCAGGTCTAGTTCAATGACTCGAGTTTAAGCACAGAAGCCGTTTTTCCGCGTTGCTTTCTCCTCTCACGTACTTTCGGCGGGACAGCGGAATAGTATTAAAATCACGTCGAGGGGCCGTAACTAAGCGCCCAGGTATTGCCTAACACGCAAGAGACCATGGTTTTCCTTAGGGGAAAATCGTGGTCTTTTGTATGTTCAAAATTTGGAAACTGCCCTTTGCGCTCTTTCGGTCTTTTGCTCACTGAGTACCACGGCTTTACAGGGCGAAATCATATTGAGCTTTATAAATAAGACTCTTGGCAATACACAGAACGCGACGAAGAGGGCGACCTTCTTCAGAAAGTCACTGAACGAGGTGTGGTGAACGTGGCACGGTATTATAATCATGCGACGATACGCATTGGTGGCAAGGATGATGACGTCCGGGGCAACGTTCGAGGCGGCTTGGACATCAGAACCGCCAGTAGCTATCGCCCAAATCGGTCGGTGTTCTCGACATGCACGAATGCACTCTATGCCCCGCGAAAGAGCCGTAGCAGCGATCGATCTGGCGTGAAGCGCTCTTCCAGTCAGACTGGAGCTTCTTTGCCTCCTAACAAGCGATCGTGCTCGGCATCTCCTACCAAGGCCTCTAATATCCCACTACCAAATCGAATCCATCGACGGATCGTTCTGCGAGACTATGGCAAACCAATTTACGAGGCAAGCACTCGCTCGGTCTTGCTTGCCGCATTCGAGGGTTGCATTGCTGGACATCAATCTTTGAAAAAGGAAGGGATTCTTCACCGAGATATTTCGGTAAATAATCTGATGATTCATGAGGACAAAGAGGACCCCTCGTGGCCGTCATTCTTGATCGATCTTGACCTAGCCATCAAAGCGCAACGGGTGGGTGTTTCTGGAGCGGATGGAAAGACAGGCACAAGGGCGTTTATGGCAATTGGCGCGCCTATGGGCGAGAATCTAATTTGACAGAAAGATAGATTACTCTATCTTATTAAAGGATCTTTTTTAACTGATCGGAAAATTCCATTATTTAGGGTACTTAGCGGGGGATGTTGGGTCCAAACCTTAAGCCAACACCTCTCCCCCCTGTTGGGCCCGACTATATTTAGGAGAGGTACTATACTAGCGCTAGTGCTATATAGGCCTACTCTACGAAGGATCTAACAGTCTATCTAGCCGGCGGTTCTACTACTATCTTAATGTCCTATATATCCTTACGGATTATAGCGAGTTCGGCGTACTAGTTGGTCTATAGTAGCGTTAATAGGAGGTCCTTTGTTAAGAGTATACTACTTTACAGGGTAGAAGGCCTGTCAACTAGGTAGGAGAGTCAAGCACCAAGTCAAATTATCACAGAGACTGTTTCTTGAGGAATTCAAATCCCACTTCCTCAAGCATCAATTTAAATACAGCATCTTTCTTGCAAACAGGAAATAAATACGATTCGAGGGGGACTCCATGGCGAGAGGTCACCGCATGGTCAACGCATGGCACATACTGTGGGCGTGGGCTGCATGCAGTGTGGCTGTCTCGAATCGCTGCCGAGGGGTTACCGGCTGACCGCCGGTTTGTTACCGCCTTGGCAGAATCCTCGGCCCACGGGTGCCTAAGGCACCAATATCAACATGTGAATAGCCTTATCGAAATATCTTAACATCCTTAGTTCATATCTCTATACTCTTGAGAAAGTCGGTAATCTTAGAGTATTTAGACTCTAGGGTCTTCGCCTCGATTTACTTACTACGTAGCGGTTTTAACAGTACTTATATATCGTGATTAGCGTTTAGTACGCGCTCTCTGTTCGATGGCAGATTTTTCATCGGGCCTCGAAAGCCCCTAGCGGGACCGGCCCAACGCCCTTTAAGGCGCGCAACATCGTAATATCGGTCGAGAAGCGTCGAAACCTGTATCAAACGATAGCGTAGGGAATTGGATTAAAACTGCCGTTTACGACAAGTTGCCAACTGGCGTGGTTCCTGAGATCTTTCAAAAATTTCAATTCGGCGCTGAAGTTGTTTTTTTCCAAAAATGGATTGCTAAATCTCTATCAAACACAGGGTACCATTTGTTCTAATTTCGAATGGTCAATTCCACCCACACTGAAGAAGTCCTCAAAGCAGTTCCGAACGTCCCAAGGCAAATCCTCCCATAGACCGGCGTGTCTGTTGCCTGGCTGAAAGTCTGTTGGCTTATCAGAGGGTGCCCCTTCCCTGCCGGCGTCATAGCGGTCCTTATCATGCTCAACACCCGCGATCTCTAACTTTTGTGGATGACTTGTATCACGAAGAGAATCAAGGTCCTGTGGAATAACATCAGTATTACCACACGGGTATTGTGTATGGTAACACCGACACTGTTGGCAAATTGGTTTATGAGATCTAGTTGCGATTTTCGTCATGGCTTTGTCTATAGCGAACTTCATAGCGCTCGACATCTTAGCATCCGCGCTCAAGGCCTTCAGCCGAGTCAACAGGCCGAGCAGTGATTCATCGGAGATCTCTGAGGAGGAATGCCTATAATGAGATACAACGAGGATCGAGTATGTAATGCACACGGAGTAAAACACGGGGAGGCAGCGTGTTTGATTGTCACTCATTCGTGAGAGTGTCTGCAGGACGAGAATGGCGGAGTCGACAACCATCACCTCAAACATTGTTGGCCGGTGTCCTGGATGAGCAGTTCTCTCCGTATCCCTGTCTGCATTGGTAGATCCGGAAGGTTTATCCTTACTGTTGGTGAAGTCCTCCTCTGTAGACATGTGGCGACTTGCGTGGCTGTGATTCGCACGCGAGATGTTCAGTGCCCGCTTTGCGAGAATCAGGTATGCTATGTGGTAACCCAGTTTCAAACAAATTGATTGTGGCATGTCTGATGTCAAAGATGATGTCGTTAGCGTATCTACTAACCAGAACCTTGGAGGAGAGAATATTGTAATTAAACATACTAAAAAGATGCTTCCACTTCTGACTCCATGCTTCTATTTCCGGGCAGTCTCCTTCGGTAGACAGAGATAACAGCCTTTCGCTGGGAGCGACGATGGAAGAGTAGAGCATAATCTCGGCAACGTTCATGGCGTCATCGATTGTGGCCTGGCCGATGTCGAGTGTCAAGAGGCAGTAAGCGGTATAGTGTGGCGGAAGGAATGAGGGACGTCCTGTTGCAGCAGCCCACCTTTTTTGCGCAGAGGCACGTTGTTAGTATTCAATTCACCAGTACCCCTGCACATAATGCGGATTGAATGACATACTGTAAATGATTCAAGCAGATGCTCCCCCAAAGACGTACATCTTTTTGGTCTTCCAGCGATGCATCCCCAGACTTGATATTTGCGGAGATTTTGGCAAAGTTAATTGTCAACATCGCCTGCTGAGCGCAGTGCCCGCTCAGCACCCAGCTGTCAATATATTCCGGTCCGACCTAAATAAATGAGGTATGAAATATCAGTTCACCTGACATGCTAGAGCCAAGAATCTTAATTCCCAGGCTTTTAGAGAACGTACCGAAGGGGCGCTGGCAAAGAGGCACATAGCACTAATTGCGAGGAGCTCTTCAAGTGGCAGTGGAGTCGCCAGAAGAACTTGTCCGAGCTTTCGTCTGACTTCTTCATAGACTTCTCGATGAAGAGGAGATACACTATACTCTTCTTCGCTAACCATGCCATGCAAACAACAAACGGCATGAAGAAACGGCGAAGTAGCTCGGAGGTCCTTGTTCGTGTCTAATACAATGCCTTTGAGGTTGCTGATGAAGTAGTTGGAACGATAACGTCGGAGAAACCTAGGACATGATTGCACGATTAGTCCGAAGCTCTTTGTTAACGATTAGGCTAATGATTATAGCCATAGCTACTCACGACTGAATAAGCATATCAGCGTCCTGCTTGCTCAGCATCCCGAGCTCCACAAGATCATCATTGACTCCTTCTAGGAGTCTCCTCCTCCTACCGCTCAGTTGGATGCAAAGACGCCGTATCACAGCGGCGGGAGCAAGATGAACGTCATCCTGAGCATCAGGAGCATCAAAATGCAAAGGTGGAGCGCAAGGTCGACTATCATGACATTCAGATTGCTGGGTGCTCTCCTCATCTTCGATCGCTTCAGGAATAGAGGGGCGACATCTCCCTTCGTCCGGCTGTTTCTGCGACTGTTTATCCAGTAGAATAGACTTGATTTCCTGCAGGGAATCCTCGACTCTACGAAACCTGGTGCGAGGAAAATTAACCGAATATCTGCATGGTATCGTGTGATGTGCAGTACCGTTGCTCAATCTCTACCAGAGTATTCGGTGTATCAATACTCGCACTCGCATCGACATTGTCCGCATGCGAATTTGCGCTGAGCGAACAGTGAACCCTACTCGAGTTTGGCCAGTAAGCTTGGTTTCTCCACGCGGAGAAGACTGGATGGGGTTGGAGCCGTCCGAACCTCAGTGTACGGCACCTGTAGCAGGTCTGCATTGCCGCATCGAAGTCGCAGCGGCATTTTAGGCGTCGACATGCTTCACACGACAAGATCCGCCGTTTTCGCTTTCTGTATGGGCCTCCTTCTTCTGCCACTTGAGGGTGATCGGTACGGAAAGGGGATGTCGAGGATTGGAAATTCATGATGGGTACTTAGCATGTAGTCCAGGTGTAGCCGGGAGAGTACCAGGGGGGGCAGCAGCAGCAGCAAAGGATGGCTATTCTCGTTCCGCCGGATAAAGTTGGCTAGAGACGATAATCTGCGGCGGCCTCGGACCGGATTTTTGCTTATCAGCCGAAGGTTTCCGCCGGTGATAGTAATTTATTTAACAACGTAACCCAACTCCCTCGTTATCTCCGCCGATTCTAGCGGGAAATCGTCGAACCACGATCGGTTCCGTCCAACGAGTCCCGATTCGCAAATCATGAGGGTGTCCGACGCTGTTTTTAATTAACAAACAGATGATACCACATTGCCAAGTAGTAATAGTCTCTTCTTTTATCCGTTCTCGCAATCTCAAATAGTCCCAGGTGTAACACAGCACACCTCCCCTGGTAGTTCCGCCCAATTGGTAACCATCCATCGAGACGCCGTCTTGTCAGGCAGAAATCGCGATCACGATGACCGAAGCCGTGCAAACCCACCAGATAGCCCTCATGTCAGCCACTGGTCTAATCTACCGCACTGTATCGAGCGAGAAGGCTCGCGACTGTACACCAGACGAAATCCCGATTATAGACGTCGCAAGATTATGGGGAAGCCTGGAGGACCGGAAAGAGTTGGCACGCGAGGTTCTCCATGCCTGCGAAAACACTGGATTCTTTTATATCAAGAACCACGGCATCACCAACTCGTCTATTACCAAGGTCCTTGACAGGTCGAAAGAGTAAGCCGACACGAGCCCTGTTTTCTCGCACTCCATTTCTGACGTCCTGACAGATTCTTCTACCAGCCAGAAGAGCTCAGGCAGAAGGCATCCAGAAGACACGCCAAACACTTGGGTGGCTACCTGGGGCGTGCCGACAGAGCAGGAGGCTCACCGACGGGCAAAATCAGTAAGTTTTCCTTCTACTATTTTAAAGGGGGGGATTCACTTATTGACAACTACACCCGCAAAAGATACAAAAGAAGTTTTTGTGATGAAATACGATCCCAAGTTCGACCCAACAGTCGAGGACTTCACTAAAATCCCCGAAGAAGTAAACGAAGGGTTACATGCCGAGGAATTCTACTGGCAGGCGACACAGCACATAGATGGATTCCAGGACGCACTGGTTGGTCATTGGAGAAGCTGTTTGGACTTGGCTAGACGTCTCATAAAGATCTTCGCCATTGCTCTAGAGCTGCCCGAGAACTACTTCGAACATCTGGTAACATATCCGGGTGCTGACTTGGGAGTGGGCTTGTACCCTGGCTGGCCTGAAGGTATGGTCGCCAAAGAAGCAGAGATGGGACTCAATGCACATACTGATGTGCAGTGCTTCACACTGCTCTGGCAGGATAACCACGGCGGTTTAGAGGTACTCAACCGTGAAAGTCAGTGGGTCAGGGTGAAGCCAATGGACGACACGTTGGTGGTTAATATCGGGGACTTCCTTATGCGTCTGACAAACAACCGTTTTCAGTCAACTATTCACCAGGTCGTTCCCCATGACAGTCCCGAAGACAGGATGTCTGTTGCCTTCTTCTTCGGTAAGTGCCCAATCCATCATGGAGTCTGAAGAGACCTAACTTTGGAGATCTAGGTTTCAACTTTAACGAACAGTGTAGCGTGGTTCCCACATGTATCACGCCGGAGAACCCTAAAAGATATGAGCCAGTGGTTTGCGGTGATGTATGTTTCCTGCCTTTTCTCTCAGCTATTATTTCATCAATACTAAGAAGACCGATAGTATGTTCAGCAACGACTGGAAGCAGCCGAATCCTTCAAGGTGCCCATGAAGGGGTAATAACTGGTTATGCCACACCACTACAACTATGGACGAGATGAACTCCAACCAAGGCCAATATTTGAAATGATAAACTTGTGGCATTTATTTTCAGGACTAGTGTTGGAGCCAGGCTTGGGGATCATAGTATCAGAGCTGAAAACTGGGCATGTTGCGACCTTTGTATATGTGAATCTCGACCCTTTGGGATTAGAAACCATAGGCAAAGGCACGAAGGCAATAATGAATAGCGTATCAACCGAAAAATCTTCTTACATTGGCCATCATCAGCCTAAGACTTCTTACCTACTCTAGGTCATAGATTTCGTGAGTAAAGGCGGCGAATTGGACGTAGATCGGTAAATACTACTAGAAGTCCATGTCTTGCTCTCACATTCCCAAGCACAACCATCACAGTTACATTGGTAATTGTGACCTTTGTTCAGGCTACAAAGTCATTTCTATGTAGCTGTGGCCCTATGAACAGAATGAGTGCCGCGCTGTACAGTTTAGCCATTGCATTACATGAAACTTGAAGAAGTAGGGGCTCTAGCTGGGTTGCAATACCTCGTGCTGATCTACCAGGGGCTGATTCCTTAGTTTTGTATAAAGCCTTGCCAGTATCTGGCTCGCCGAAGTCCATTATACGTCTACCTGCTATTCTGAATGTTCTTTGATCTGAAATCGCTTGGCCTAGATCGTTTTCTCATCTGTCTTGATAGGCGTCTGTGCGCCGGCATCACCCCTTTCTGATGCTGATATTGCGTCTAATACCTGAAGAGATGACCTTCTGTATGGATCGATTTCTCGCCAGCCCTTCTGAGAAAGGGGCACCTGGTGTGGTATTTTCCAACAATAGCAAAGAACAATGTAGACGCAGAACGAGACAACGACTCCAATTTCGAACATGAAGTTATAGGCGTGACTCGCCTCAAGTGGGATCTTGTTGCCCAATGCACCCGAAAAGCCATAGAGATTAGGCGCCAGAGCACATATGTAAGCAGCATACGCGCGCCAATTGAATCCGTAGATGTAATAATAAGGCCCGTCGCGGCTGCTTGAGTATAGATCGGGAATGCTGATGTAGCCACGCACAATGACAAAATAGTGTGCCAGCATAACGCCACAAGATGGAGCGAGGAAAACACTGCATGTGATTAAGACGTTAGAGCCAGCTCAAGACTGGAAAACAGATCATGCAGTTTCCACTTACCCAAAAGATGAGATGAAGTTGAGGAATGTGGACGCTGAGGTAAGTAGGTACCAGGGGTTCATCGCGATCGAGATCACAGCGCAAATTATGGTACCTCGATGATAACTGATGAACCTCGGCAGCATTCCGGCAAGGTCGTTTCCAGCCCTGGTAAAGAGAATCTCAGTTATAAAGTTACTGTCAAAGGGATGCCAATCGCATGAGGTTGAAACTTACGGAAGTGAATTCTCAAGAATCATGGAAATCATCGACGAGTACACAAACAATAGAGCAATGAAAAAGCAGCCAGCTCGATTTTCTGGAGTGTAGTTTTCAGACTGAATACGATCCAGGAGGAGCATTGGATTCCAGACGACCTGATTCGGGGTCTCAGCACTGAGCAGAACGAAGAACATTGACAAAAAAAGGGTTCGTAGTCGACTATCCAACTTACCTCGCCAAAGATGATGCTGCTGGAGGATGAGACTAGAACGCCAAACAGGTGTACAATGAGATTTGCCAGTGGTGCTCCAACAAGTTGCCCCCAATTAGGGGAGTCTGCCCTCTTTGAATATCGCTGGAGATCGGACGAGTTCATGATGAATGTTGTGGTGTTGGCAATTCCAAGAAAGAAGAAGCGCGTGAGGAGCCATGCTCGCTTGGTTCCAGAAAACTTGCTCGGTTGTCTGACAACAGCGCCGATGCCGCCAGCAAGACCGCTACACCAGATGAGCAGGCTGAGTGCGGCAATGAAAAATGCTGCAACTTTGAGGTAGATGAATATCTTCAGTCGAGGAATGGGAACGAAGAGTAGACAAAAGACAAGCGCCCTGTCATCGCCAGCAGGAGTTAGCGACTGCAATAGTTATCTCTCATGCGAGGAACAAGCTCCCATGACCAGAGAAGCCAACACGAGAGGACGGGGTTTAAATTACCATAATATCACGAGGCCGATCAACTGCCCAGTAGTGAATCCTGCATTTGCTGGCATAACCTCTGGTAGATACGCAATCGAAGGAAAAATAGCGTGTAACATCACACTAATGAACAATGGTCACCATTATTGCCTTGCTCGTCGCGAGCAGAAGCGAGCAGATTGACTTACTATACACACAGAGAGCCTTGGACAAGATTCAATCCATTGTAGATGATTGACAGACAAGCTCGGCTGATGATAGGCCACATGCTGCCATAGATGCCAAAACTGGCCCTCACGACTGCAGGGAGCGGGATACCATACATGGCTCCCGGGCGACCATTGGCCAGCATGAACCAGCTCGAGATGACACGGCCGCCAAACAGTGTGAAGAGCGCCTCCCAAACACTCAATCCAGCAGCGTAAGCAGTCGACACGGCATACCAATCAGCTACCGACGAAGCGGCAGCGAACCAGAATGCAAAGTACGATAGACGACCCCATGCCCTGTCCTTAGGTGGTAATGGGAGTATGTCGTGGTTTTGCCGACCACTCTGTCCATCCTCGGCGGCGTCGTTGTCATGATGGCGGTATGCTGATGTCTCCAGCTGTCGCAGGAAGGATTTGAGCAGAGCCATTGGATGTTTCACACCATCTCAGACTGCAATAGCTGTTAGTGAATTCGGATTACACGACACACAGAAGACGAGACATTCCTTCAAATAAAGAAGGATCTAGAGAGTGCCACTGGCTAACAGAAGGCCTATCGCATCTACTTCACTGGTCCTGCACGACATGGCGCTTTTCTTTGGGACTCCATCTATGACCTTCGGCTTCCGCAGGAGAAAATAACTCTAGCGCCAAGCAGAATAATATTATAGCTTATCTGTGTAATCTAGACGTATCTAGACGTATCTAGACGCTGGAGAAGGCATTGCGGGGCACGTTAGGAGTAAAGCGGATCTTTAGTTATCTCATCTACCTTATTTCTTTGTAAAAACGCACCGTCATGGAATGGACAACTCCTCCAATAACCGACTCGAAAAAGTTGTTTGAGTTTCCCTTTTTTACCCCCTCGCAACTACATGTCCACGACTACACGTAGACGACTGCGGATAGAGCTTTGTTTCCGTAATGCCTTTTGAGGGCGTTACCAATCGTCCCTCCACAGGTTAAACCCCGGCTTATCTCCGTTGCGCCACTTTCCCGGGCTATTCCGATTCGAGACCCGAAGCATTAGCATCTTATTGATTACATCTCTTCCGTCGGATATCGCAGGAACGAAGAAGTCAATATTAGTCTCAAAATCGCCAAGCTTTCCTATATTGTGTTTGTGGGTCTGAAAAGATGTAGATATCTCAATAAACTGACCTCTTCTCTATTTTCACAATATTCGCATAACCCTTTAGGTCGTGTACCAATAGCTTGACTGAAAGGGGCAAGAGGAAATATGGCTCTGGTGTTGCAAAGGCATGATCCGGATGCAAATGGAAATCAAGTCCCCAGCGTAAGCCCTGGCGCCTGTATCAACGAAAGTGCTGGTTGTGAGGAAAGTAGGAACGGCGAAACATGTGTCAATGTACGTGACAAGTTTGCCCCGCCGCCAGCAAGCATTTTTATTGACCAGATTCCAGGGACGCAATAACCGCCGGAGTATAACAACGAAGGCTGTTGATGATCCTCGCACTTGGCCAAAATCCCTTAAATGGACGATCATCGCCATCGCCTCCCTTTTCGCCTTGGTCACACCACTGACCGCAACCACGCTGGCACCAGCGCAACCCGTCATCGCCACCCAATTGTCCATGCGGGAAGGGATCGAGACCCAGTTGATCACGTCGCTATTTGTGCTCAGCTTCGCCTTCGGGCCTCTCGTCTGGGGGCCGCTGAGTGAGATCTACGGTCGCAGCCCCATTCTTCGAACGGCGAACTGCATGTTTCTCGTGTGCAACGCCATCTGCGCCGCGTCGTACAACAAGGCGCAGCTACTGCTATTCCGGTTCCTCAGCGGCTTTGGTGCCAGCGCCACGCATGCACTAGGCGGCGCCATCGTGGGCGATTTGTTCACAAATGAGAACAGAGGGAGTGCTATGGCCACGTTCAACCTGGCGCCACTGCTGGGTCCGTCTCTGGGGCCCGTCATCGGGGCTGTCATGACTGACCATGTCAGCTGGAGGTGGCTCTTGGGCGTTATTTCATGCCTCAGTGCCGTTTTGCAGGTCTTCGCGTGGTCATTGCTCAAAGAGACCAACCCCGTCATATTAAAGAGGATAGCAGCAGATAGCGACACCAACAGCAACAGCCAAATTGAATCACGTCCAGTCAATGGAAAGCAACGTCAACATAGACTGAGAAACGAGTTGTCTCAGGCCATGTCTAGACCCCTGCGAATGCTACTCACTCATCCGATCATCCAGATCTGCGCATTGAACGACGCCCTCACATATGGCATATTCTTTCTTGTCCTGTCCACCTATTCACAACTATGGACACACGAGTATGGCCAGTCTGTCACGCGAGCCGGGCTCAATTATTTGTTCCTGGGCATGGGAGCATTCACGGGAGCACAGGTCGCAGGCCGTACATCTGATAGAGTTTACTCGTATCTCAAGAAGAGAAGCGGCCTGGCAAATGGCACGGAACTGCCAGAGTATCGCATCCCCATGATGATCCCCGGTGCCATTCTGGTCCCTGTTGGTCTACTGATCTATGGCTGGTCAGCCGAGGCACACACAATGTGGCTGGGGCCTGACGTTGGCATTTTCATATTTGGAGTTGCCAATATCACCCTTGTACAAAGCATGCTGCTCTATATCGTTGGTAGTTATCACAACCACGCGGCTTCAGCTCTGGCCGCCGATGTCCTGTTGAGGAGCCTCTTTGGGTTTGCTTTGCCACTTGCTGCGCCATCACTCCTGAAGTCTCTTGGCCGGGGATGGGAAATGACTTTGCTTGCAGCATTGGCTGGCACGCTTGGTGTGTCTTCACCTATAGTTCTATGGTTTCATGGCAGAGCTATTCGGGAATTCAGCACCGGGAATAAATCGCATGAGGATTCTGACCAAGGATGACACCAACAGACTTCGAATTATCTCTTTGATTTTTTATAGTTGGGGTAGTTCGGCACCCTAATATAGAGTTAAGGTCGGGAACATGAGGTAAACATTTGTTTTTGACCTAGGGTGTAAAAAAGTTAAAGCCAGTCAGGATATTCTGACACGGGTTACACAAGGCCTTAGGTTATAATAGTTCGACGACGTTATGAGTAATATCTCAGGGTAATCTTAATCTGGGGTAGTATCTCAATGTAACACACTTGACTATAGTAAAATTTGTATTGATAGGCCACCCACAAACCAGTGGCGGACCCCTAGGCCGAGCACCTGGGCAGCTAGTCTCTTTATCTTTCCTGTGGTGACTAATGTGACAGATAGAGTAATGCAATACTAGCTCACTGCGATTCTTTGATCTATCTTCTGGATCACTGCCCTTTCCCAGTTACCCTTAGCTTTTCTGCACATGACCCTAAGAGTTATACCCGACGTATTTCTCAGGCCTGAGGTTCTGTTTCCAGCTGCGCACCCTTTCATCGGCGGTCCAGCTTCTGGCCGTAATACTAGATTGGTCTAATATTGGAATAAGATTCAAACTCATTATTCCGTCGGGGATTAATTGTCTTATGGGCGTACCCTGTCTGTAGGCCTCTGCATGGTGCGGTCTTGGTCCTTAGGTCGAGGACCGCGGACCGGACCGCACGGTCTTGCGGTCTCGAATCCGGAGGTTAAGACCGCACCATCGTGAACCGTAATTGCATAATTCTGCCAAGACCTTCCCTTTTCGGCTGCATAAATTGACCATCATCCCTTTTGTTTACAGTTATTAAACACTGTTTTGGTCCGTTCTTACACATTGCGTGGTAATTCAGCATCAATAACCTTGAAAACGGATGAAACCCGCAAACTTGTGCCCCCCACAACATCAAGAACCACCTTGCTCGACACTCAGCCACAATACACTGTGTCCGCGGCTTGTCTTGCCACACCAAACACTCACGAATAGGAGGCCATTGCCACAGTTGGTCTCCGTATTTCCACAGTGACCCACCTCAGCAGACCATGAACAGATACCCCCTTACTAGAAGCGGGGACTAAACCACTGAATCCACCTCTGCAGCGCAACACTATTGGTTGGCCCCTACCTGACTTAAACTGAGTTAGGCCTAGGGATGACCATTATAGGACGCCCTCAACCCGAAGAACAGTCTCTCATAACGTACCTCCTCTTGTATGCCCTCTGTTTGTTGAATGAGTTATGAAAGGATGTTCATTCTTGTTCTAATCTTGAGGGGCTGATAGACTGGTTATATACACCATATATGTTCAGACTCACTTCCTTATCGGAACAACACATCCACCGAGATATTCTATATTCAACAAGTTCATCCGGCTCTCAAGATTAGAAGAACAACGAACAACTTTGTCGTGCTTCACTAACCACATTAACACCTTTAACATAAGAGGATCACCGTGAGACGGCACTCCACTTAAGACAATCCATCTCATGGTCAGTGGTACGGAAAGGTTATCTTAAGACAATTCTCTTGTGAGAAATTGTTTGTAATTCACACACACACACACACAGCCTGTATACATTGTAGCAACTGGTTGTGACTAGCCATGGCCCATAAAATAATCGACAGTTGTAAGACGATGCCTCTTTCTTACTGTTCGATACAGAGGATTTCGAAAACAGATTACCCCCCGGACACACACGCTTTCTTTCCCAGCGCCCCACTAAGATTGCGCTAAGCTAATTCTGGCTAAATGAAGCCCCTTCCCTGAGCTCTGACGCTATACCATTGGCTGCAGAAGAATCTAGAACCCGGGCGATCCGGACTAGGCACCAAAGTGGGTCTCTGGGTGAGTAAACGTGTGTGTCTTGGGGGCAAACTGTTTTCGAAATCCACTGTAGCCTGGAATCAGATAAGTTTTGGAGACGATCAAAGTAGCCAACCACGTAGCTTAAATGTGAGGCAGGCCACTTGCAACCTGGGGTTACTAAGCAAACTGTTCTAAATTAGTTAACTACCTAACCGCTTCTAGTTAGATTACAGCTGCCGTACCCGCGGGCTCCAGCAACTCCCTGCTGAGCTCCTTGGTTCCATCACACCACCAACGTCCAGCGATGACTGCAGATGCGCGGCGTTCGGTCTTACGACTCTGCTACGATTGAAATCTCATCCGGCCTTCCTGCTCCAGCCACGAAGACCCGTACTTCCCGCCCCAACTCCACAACCATTCCAAGCCAGCGAGACTGGTCGCAGATTTCGGAAGCTGCTCCCTGTGCGCACTCTATTCACCTGCCAGGAGAATATGGCAACAGATGATCCGGATATCGAACAATTATTTCGCTATACAAGTGGGCGATGGCTCTGGAGTGAAGAACAGCAGCTCCAAGACAGATACAAGGCCTTTAACGTCACTCAGCTTCAAATTTTGGCAGCTCAAGCAATAGGTTCGGATGGCTGTGTCTCGATCACAAAGCTGGCAGAGGGGGGGTTCAACAAAGTTTTCCGCCTCCAAATGAGTGATGGGAAATCGCTTTTGGCGCGTATTCCTAATCCAAATGCTGGGCCCGCCTTTTACACAACTGCCTCCGAAGTTGCTACTATGGAGTTCGTGAGTTTCCCCTAGCAAATGTGAAACAACAGATGACTCACGTCGCTCCAAGGTTCGAGACATTCTCCAGATACCAGTCCCTCGAATACTGGGATGGAGTGCAAACTCCGAAAACCCAGTTGGGTCAGAATATAACTTCATGGAGGAGGCGGCCGGGAAACAACTAGCAACGCAATGGGATGACTTAACTCCTGATTCAAAGCTAGCTATCATGAGAGAGATTGTGGCTATAGAGACAAAGTTATTGTCGGTATCTTTTTCGCAGTATGTTCCTATCGCTCTTGTTATTTCTTGTTTTACATGCTTACTTTGTGATTACTAGCTACGGAAGTTTATATTTTTCGAGTGACAAAGTAGATGGCGCGGTTTCGGCTCAAATCACAAGCGATGCCCCTATTGAATTGAAGAGCGGGTCTCTAAGAGATTCACTATTGGCCCAACTGTCGAGCGAGATTTCTGGAAAAAAGAGCGTGGTACAATGGACATATCGCGAGGTCCTTGTAGGTATTATTTCCCTACTATGCAGATTTCGGCGTCTAACTGCTTGAAGGGGCAAGTGCCAAGGAGTACGCATCGAGTGTTGGTTGGCGCGAAGTTGATTGGATAACAAAGTACGCCGTTCCAAAGCCATCCGACGACATATTGAGCTGTACATCCCAAAACGAGCCACGTGCGCATCTCAATCTGCTGGAGAAATACCTTAGCATTGCCACCAGTCTCATGGACATTGATCCCCTCCTTAGCCGTCCCACTCTTTGGCACAGCGACCTCCACTCATCCAACATTTTTGTTGATAACAATCGTATTACTGCAGTCATTGATTGGCAAGGCTCGTGGGCCGGTCCACTTCTACTGCAGGCACAACCATCTCCGCTGGTGGACTATCAAGGCAGCATCCTACTTAAGCGTCCAGCCAATTTTGACGACCTTGATTCCGAGCAACAAGTTCAAATTAAGCGACAAATTTTCAAATCGACTCTTTTCCAGCTTTACTTGATGGAGACTGAGAGAAGGAATCCGCTGCTTGCAAAAGTGTTCCATCTGAACCATGGAAAAACAAGACGTCTTGCCGTCGAATTGGCTGGGAATACCGGGGATGATGAAATTGTGCCTTTCCGAGAGGCACTCATCAATGTTGAAAAGTATGAGTTAGGGATCTGGGCAAGTCCAATGATGATAAAAGCGCAGTTACAATTACGGTAACATTCGACATTATCAACCGAAATCTAAAAGACAATGCAGATACACATGGAAGGAGAACAAAAGCTGAATTGGTAAAGCCAATTTTTGGAATGTAGAAATACTCTAAAAAAGTCGTTAGCCATCAGATACCTCCTTCATATAACATTTCTTATACATTCACTCTTGGTGTTAGCAAGTTAGTTTCATGTGACTCCGTCAATATCAATTTATAATGTCAAACCCGGTTCATATCCAGCGCGTCCAAATACTCTCTCACAAGCTCAACTTGGCATTGCAAGACCCATCTAGAGTCCACTCTATCCGGGAAAAGAAATTGAACACACGCATGACGCTTCTTCCGTCTGTTATTCAAGATGATATCGTTGAGATAGAGCGAATGAGAAGATCTCGTGCCCCATCTCCGGAGGATCACTCCGAATTGTCAGGCGGTCAGCATATCCCACGTGGCCAGGTGAGTCATTAGTAGAGGATGTGAAAGATCGGATCTCTAGGCAAAATTAGTGTATTGGAGAGGGAAGTTGCTTCTACATGAGAATTGGAATACCAGCATTTTCTTGCCAGTTCACACTTTGAAAGTCTGGGTTCTTTGTGGCAGCAGATCATCCATTACTGTACCCCAAAAACCCAAGGCGCTGGTTTGCACGCTGGATATGAGAAGTCATGCATACATGAGGGAGTGAAACACATAATATCTCTGACGTCTCCCTTTCATTGGTGGGGATACCATATACTTGGGTTCCGCAATAACCCGCGCTCTTGGAGGCGGATGAAAATGTACAGTATTGTGTGTAGTGTGTCAAAGTAGTACAGTAACTGGTTACCTTAAGTTAGTATAAGTTAGGGAACTTAGGGTCTCCTACCACAAGTATTCCTGCCCGTCGTGTTGTCCCATCAAGACCTAGGCTCTCAAAAGCTCCTTGCAACCGTACTGTCGCCAATAGGCCATGTTAGTGCTCAATAGGACCCTCGCTGTTCCTGGGGTTTCGTTAGCTCTCGGTGGCCCTTCTGTGTCGTTGCGGTCCCTCGTTCGGTCGTAAGTGCGTGTTACGTAACAACCGCCTCGCACCAGGTGACTGGCAGCTTCCGGAACAAGTAGGATTGAGTCGTGTAAAGTCACCTTCCTAAGGCCCTTTTTTATAAAAAAATAAGAAAAGCAGAGCAGAAATATTAAATTTGTATTCAAAGCCGAATTAAGGAATCTAGCTTTGATAGCCTAGGGTACGATATCTGGAAACAGGTAGGCCACGATTCAACAGGAGCTAGAGAGCCATTCGCCGTTCAACTTTATGGGATATTCATACCCAAAAGAGATACAAAGATTAAGACAAGGTGGCAAGTTGTATCACCCTCCTGGACCACTTTTTCAACGTATGATTTCCTTAGTCCTCAAGTAAAGCCTTCAAGGTATCAGCAGGTGTACGCTTTGGAGCAGCAAGCTTCAGGACCTCCTTGCTGGTCGTAGAAGTTGAGCATTTTCCTTGCCACACTGTCTCGGCGGCCCTCGTCATTGAGTAGATGACGTTCTTCGATTGCTTGGTTGCCGCATACTGATTCTCATACAGCATGTCGATGAACGAGACGTCCTTATAACTAACATCCTTGACGGGCGTACCAATGTGCTGCTCAACCATTGCAACAATCTGCATCCCATTTATATCCTCGGGTCCATTCAGAACGTATTTGGCTTTGTTGTGGGTGGAAGTGTCGTCCTGAGACAAGAGATGAGCTGCAAAAACACCAACCTCGTCAGGATCGATAATGCCGATAGGTGCATTCTCTGATGGCACCAACCGAAGTGTATCCTGCTCTCCGGTCTTGCGGTATCTCTTAATGAATTCCGCGGCTGGGGACATAACGAATGGCGAGAAGATGTTTGGCTGAAGAGAGGTCCACTGCAAGTTGTCGAACTCGGGTGAGCCGAGGAGAGCCTCGATGGCCCAGTGCTGGCGTGGATAGTAGGCAGGGCAGTCCGGGCGGACATTTGCAGCCGTAGTTGAGATGCGCACGACATACTTGACGCCGGCATTGAGGGCATTGAGGTGGAAGGTCGACTCTTCGGCAAATTGGTTGGGCTCGGGTTGGGATGCAATGAACGCTCTAGCAACTTGGTGTTCGCGGAGCCAGTCGGCGGTGATCTCAACCCAGTTCTGCTCGATCACTTCAACTCCGGGCAGTTTAGCAAGCTCGCGTGCTACCGGACTGCTCGAAGTGCGAGTGAGAGCAATAACGCGGTACCCGGATAAGGTGCTGCTGGATTGAAGCAACTTTGGCAATGTTTGAGCGACGGCTCGGCCAGTATTGCCGGTGGCGCCGACGATAAGTATGGAAGGAGTCATAATTCCGAGGGCCACAGAGCTAGATTGGAAGGCAACTGATCCACGGCGAGGGGATGTGATTTCCGAGGTATTTATATCGGGACTTTGCCTTAGTAAATCATCAATTAATAATAGGAATAATCGGGATTTCTAGCACAGGATAAGAGTCAATGTACGGGCAGAATTACTAATTGCCGCCCACGCCTGCCCACGCCGCCCAATCGGCATCACTCAAGGCTGCGCCCTTTGCAACATTCTGTAATCTTGCCGAGGCATTTGTTATATCCATAATCCGACTGCGACTCACTTGATTTGAGTATCGATAGCCTTTTTGAGTTGAAGCGCTTCAAAATGTGTCTTATCGGAAGCGGTGGGAGACCGAGTGGGAGACCGAGTGGGAGACCGAGTGGGAGACCGAGTGGGAGACCAGGTGGGAAACCGGGTGGGAAACCGGGTGGGCGGTGGAGTTACGCTGTCGATCCGAACACCCCGCGGAGCTCGGTGAGGTCTCATCTCTTTCGAAACGCTGATTGCGAGAGCCATATTTACTGTACAGATGGGAGGGTTCGGAACCGAAATCGAACTCCTTTTCCATCCGAGTCCCTCGGACTCTTTCGCACATAACACGTTCCGATGCCGATTTGCTGGCTGCAATGCTCGGTACCGACGCAAGGAGCATCTAAAGCGCCATGAAGAATCAAATCACGCTCAGCAGCAGGACTTTGTGTGCTCCTCATGTGGTCGCCAGTTCAAACGAAGGTACAGTAGTTTTCAAAATCAGTTTGACTTCACACTCTTTGGACTTGATTCCCGGAAAGTAAATCCCAAAATGCGGATTCTGATTGGATGTTATTTTAAGCATCATATTCTTGACCGCTTTCTACAATAGTCCACGTACTTTACAAGACATCTTCAATACCATAGCTGTTGTATTTTACACGAAATTAGCACAGACACGGTACTGTAATGTACAGTGACTACGCAAAAGTTTGGACATCCCTTCGGGACCCACTCTCAGACCGCCTAATATAGTGACATACCGCTTTCCAAATCTCGGTTCCAGGAACACGCAGAAATGTGTACAAGCGATATTATCACGAGTTGTTGATAGTCTATCTACTGTTATGCTTACCGAAATCCAATTTCTGTTACTTAAGTTTCCCTTCGCTCTGAGCCTTTCGATATCATGAGGTGCTGGGGGAGGATTTACGGCTGGCATAATATTATGTAATCAGCTAATGTGGGTCCTGGGGTGTCCAAACTTTTGCGTAGTCACTGTACCTCCCGACCCCTCTCTTCCTTCTCCGACAAGCTGCAACTTCCTGCACAACAGCTCCCTGCTTACCAATTTTTGGTCCAGACGACATTAGTGTGTGCCAAGGAAGGCGGTGGGTGACAGTCTCCCAGTTGCTACCCATGCTGAATTCTCAAAATACAGCTCCATCCTTGAGGTACCCAGATTTCCTCCGCAGCCAGATAGGCAAGCCGAAAGGTCCCTCTTTCGCTTTTGCTGCTGACATGCTGACACCAACCACATCACAACATTCCAGAAATGGGTATACGTTATCCGGATTTTCTTCGTAGGGGCGAAGTTCCCACACAAACGCTTTCCAAGAAGGCTTGGTGCCTTAGTGGTTTGGCCGGTCTCGATCAATGGACAAAGATAACGCTCTCGGGAGGTTGTTTTCTAGGTGAATCAGGGATGTTTAATGTATTTAATATACAAGCGAACAGAGTGACACAGCAAAGGCATAGTTGATTGCCACACTAATGACAGGGTCGGCTAGAGTAAAGTAATTCTGACAAAGACAGGTGCCATCAACATTCCTGTTCCAGAGCCGAGTATGTTCAGTGCAGACGGCGGGCCCGTGGCTAATCTTAGACCTACAGTAGTCGGATAGCGCCAATACTGATACCAGACAATAGAAGACATCAAAACGGAAGCAGAGGTAGCTTATAGCTCTCATAATTCTTCTTCAGTAAAGAGGAGATCAAGCGAATTGAGTGCAGAGTCCAACTCGTCAATATCAAGACCAGCGGCAAATAATGGGCTCATTTGAAGTTGGTGTTGCATGATGGAGACTGATCTTTCGTTCTGGACTAGATGCACTGAAAGTGGCAAACAATCTACGTGAACAGACACGCTGGCACAGGCAATAACAAAGCTCAATAATCCGCCGATCGGACGACGGAGGTCTTTGGCGCTCCCGATTTGCAAGACATGAAGGCACTCTGCGGATATTTGCTTCAAACGCCATAAGATGTACTGCGCTTGGGCGTGTAGGTCATCAAGTGAGATTCCAGAATAGCCATTTGCTGGAATACCAATTTCCGCGTTATCATTGCCCGAGTCTCCCATAGTGGACAAGATCTTCGCGAGTGTCGCATGGTCAATTCTGGGTTCCCATTCATTCTCATCCCGTTGAATGTATTTATCCAACAGTCTCTTGTTCTCCTCCGGATCTGAAACAGTTGATGAGATCAACACGTAGCTCATGATGCAGAGCAATTGCTTAAACCCTAGGCGCTCCGAAAGGCGGTAAGTGTCATAATGACAACTCCCATCCGTGGATATCATTGGAGATTAAGAATGAGAATGGAAAAGCGTCCACGAATTTGATAAATTGCTAGAAGCAAAATCAAGCGAACAGGTCAGAATGAAGATTGATCAGGTTGGAGTTTCTCGCTAACAAAGGAGGTTATCCGGGGTACCTACCTGCATCCCACTATATAAGAGAGAGACAGTCCAAGAAAGGGTAAGCGAGGTACAATTTTACCGAGTGATAGTCTCGATGTACGCAGGTCGGGTCGAGGGAAATTGTTAGTAAGGTACTTCCATCCCTTGATTATGACTAAGATTCTGCCAACCTATATTACAGCTAACCGTCATTTAACATGTAGATTACGTATTATTTATATTTTATTGGCTCAACAAATATCTCTAGGCATATAATCTCTATTAACGTATTGGACAAGCGAGCGAGCCACCCAACCGAGCGGGCCACCCCAAACCAACTTACTAAATGTAATATTTCACGACTTGATAATTTAACGCTCGAAGCTAATCATCTTTTCTTAAGATATCTTGATATTTAATTTACTATAATACGTATTATCCTTAATGTAGGAAATATTTTAGGGAGTGATGTTATAGATATATATACCTACATCGGTCGGTGGTGGCGTATTTTTGGTATTACGTGTAAATAATTAGATTCAGAATAAATTACTTATGCTCTACTACTTAATCGCTCAGAAAACATTCTCTACGAAGAATCAAGTAAGACTAACTTCTCGTTGTTGTTATATTAATGACCTAGAAATTCGCCTTTAGTATGGTGTTTTGGGGTGGCCCGCTCGGTTGGGTGGCTCGCTCGCTTGTCCAATACGTTATAGCTATTTAACAATGATTCCCGTCAAGATGGATACAGTACGACTACCCTTCTCTAGATCGTTCTTGATGGTAGGATGCTGGAGACTCAGCCTGTCAATGACTTCTTGTAACCTAATTTCGCTTTAAGGGTGGAGCATTATTCTTGATCCTTAGGGGTGAGTACTTTTGCATGGTATCTATGGCCAGGTACTCTTAATTAATCACTCTCAATTAATCACTCTCAATTAATCACTCTCAATTAATCACTCTCAATTAATCACTCTCAATTAATCACTCTCAATTAATCACTCTCAATTAATCACTCTCAATTAATCACTCTCAATTAATCACTCTCAATTAATCACTCTCAATTAATCACTCTCAATTAATCACTCTCAATTAATCACTCTCAATTAATCACTCTCAATTAATCACTCTCAATTAATCACTCTCAATTAATCACTCTCAATTAATCACTCTCAATTAATCACTCTCAATTAATCACTCTCAATTAATCACTCTCAATTAATCACTCTCAATTAATCACTCTCAATTAATCACTCTCAATTAATCACTCTCAATTAATCACTCACTAACGCCCACCACAGCCACTAGGCCCATTACAGATCACTCACTTATTGGCAATCCGCCCGGTTGCACATCAATTGCGCACAAATATTCGAAAATAACAGCTTAATTTTCAGAAAGAAAAAAAGATAAATAAATAAATAAATAAATCTAATGTTTTAATGCTACTTCAGGTTCAGACTACAGGGTCTCAAAACTGAAATCACTGTCGAGATCGGATCAGCCGACGGGTGGACAACGCCGCTAGATGATCAAACTCAATTTCAAAATAACGGTCGACATCCTTCAATTTCGCCCATACGACAGGCTGAAAAAGACATGCAAGGCCGGCAATTAGAGCATTAATCTGCCCTTTGTGTGGAGGCTACATGTATTGACCACTTGCATGTGTAAACTGGCCACAGCGAATTGACCACCCTCGGTACACCGGGAAATCGAACAGCACAGAATGGGTAGCCAGTCGTAAATATTGGTGCATAATCAGGTCAAAACACCGAGATTATACAAGAAAACGGATCATACAAAATGGAAAAATAATTTGGGAGAGAAAAAGGAAATCAAATGCAATAGCCACAAGTTGTGTAAGATGAAGGTAGTCAGAACTGGATGGGCAAACGAATTGTGTGATTGGAATGATCAGGTCGACATTTTCGGGAACCTGGGAGTTACCAGAATCGTCACTCCGGTAGTGCCGACAACCGCGTAGGCAGGCAGCGAGAATTGGGTTTTGAGCACTCCAGCTTGCTGCCTGCCAGATTTTAGTGACATACATTCAAACCATTTTTCATGATTAAAAATATACCGACCTGGACCGTCCAATTCCCGAACTTTTTAAAGCTGGCTTGCCAGAAGCTACGACTATCTCACAGCCTTCCAACCCTGCTTCCACAATCCTCGTGTCCTCTTGGAGGAAAGCAGCTTAGCAAAGCCTTGTATCCGTGCCCTTCGCTACGCTGCACCCCACGCCCTTCACTAACCCTCGTTCATCACCAATTTTCGAATAAAGCATGCAATTAATCAAGCAAACTAGCTAAAATCACACTAATAATCCTCATCAAACAGTTCTCCTCTCTCTAAAGCTTCTTCCTATTAGCAATCCCTCTCTGAATGCTCTCATTCGATAGTTGTGAAGGCTTAAAGCCGAACGCCCTTTCCGCTTCCCGGTCAATCTTTGCATTTTAGCAATCTAGTTGATCAAAGCTTTCTCCTGGTATGTGCGAAGGGTATATATATCCGATTCCTTAGGCACAATAGGCAATTTAGCCTTCTTGACGCGACTAGCAAGTGTTTCGCGAGACACATTAAATTCACGCGCAATCTTCGAAATATTCGGTTTATTTTGGCTCATAGCAGCTGCGAAGGCCTTAGCCGTGCTAGCTTCATCAAAATTGGAGGAATTAGGCATGTTTGGTGGTTGAAATAGCTGATTGCATAGAGTATTCGAAATTGGTGATGAACGAGGAGTTGGTGAAGGGCGTGGGGTGCACCCATGAGGGTCAGCGAGTGGGTGGGTCGCAGCGTAGCGAAGGGCACGGATATTGCAAATACTCGAGCATAATAAACATTGAACTAAAGCCTTAGTGCCCAAGATGCAAGAGAGGCTCGGGGCTTGCAGAAATTCCGAACGACACACAGGAGGGTCAATGACTGCCTGCTTGCCTGCCGACTAAAAATGGTGAGGCTCATAATCACCTCGATCGAGCACGAGCACAATAACCATACCTGCCTCCTCTTCTATCCTTACTTTAAAAGTCTGAGCGAGACTATATGATTCATCGACGACATCTGCAGACCGCAGTGTGCGCGGGCAAACATCAATACCAACAACCTCCTAGAGTCGGAGGGCAGCTAGAGCTCCTTGAATAATAAATAGTATACATCCTTTTACACATTTGCCGGTCATGAATGGTCACCTACATCTCGTAGTAATTACAGATTTGATTTACTAGAGTATTAGCTTCTACTACCTTTATACCTTAAAAAAAGTGAAATCATTCTTTTTGTCAAATTAGAATTAGAATGATATCAGGTTATATGGCGATTGGTGTAATTAGATTGCAGATGTGCTTTCTGTGCTTTCCACCTGGCGGTAGTGCTTATTTTAACCAGTCACTAGACTGCGGCATGGTTTTGGTTGCGGTCTTAGGTTGAAACCAAAACCAAAAACCTGCGGTTGCGGTTAGCAAGGTGAAAACCGCAACTAAACCCGCAAATTTGCGGTTAACCAAAACCACAGTGCGGTTAACCAACGGTTAACCGTAAATGCATAATTTTTGAAGATCCTCCCTATTCTAGTAGTCTCGTGATCTTTATGCAGCTATCTAATCATGCATTTTTACACCATGTTTTGGTTCTTACAGGCAGATTATGTTAATACTATGGATTATCTTTAGAAAGTTTTTGAAATCGAATTGTATTCAAGTCTGACCAAGTATATTAAATGAGTATTAATGTTAGATTTATCCAGAATGCTAAGTGAGTAGTGATATATATGTGGTTATGGATACTTTTGAGACTTAGTCGGCTTTGCTGCGGAAATATATCATTACACTTCTTAGGGAGTTGTTCTGTATTCTGAGTAAACTGACATTTGAACATCGATTTCTGCTAATTTACCTCTAAAGATAATTCATTCAAGATATATTATAGAGTTCGCTACAATGTAGTTTTTGATGAGTTCTAATTGAAAATGACTCTATAAAAAATAGAAGTAAAGAATAAGTTTTAATAATAAGTCAAAGTAGCATATGGTTATTTTGCGGTTAGTTTGCGGTCTTTGCGGTTACTTAGCGGTTATCCATTAGTTAACCGCACGAATGGATAGTTAGTAGGATCCAATTAGCTTACAGGATCAACCAGCAAACTATAATTGCTTTTGATATCTGTTGATTCCCCCCGGTCGCAACTTATCCCTTCTTATCCCAAAGTGAATCCCTAGTAAGTTTTCCTTTTCCTCTCTCCTAGACCCCTACTCCTTAGGCCTTTCCTTATTATGGCTTATTCCTAAGTGTCTGGTTTTACCGATCAGTTTTCTGAGGCTGACTTTCTATAGTCAGACGATCTACCTGCCCTTAGCAATACAGTAGTTTTCGTAATCAGTTTGACCCAAAACTCTTTCGACTTGATTGCCGGAAAATAACTCCTCAGTCCGCAAGCTCTGATTGGATGTTATTTTAGGCTTCTGGGACCAGACCGCTTTCCACTATAGTCAATGAATCTTACAATACATCTTCAGTACCGTTTATGCTGTAATTTACATGAAATTAGCTGAATACGGTCCAAATTGATTGCATTTACTATGTATTTTGGAGTGCGCAGCTCGACCGGGTGCGCAGGTCGGCCGGGAATTACGTTAAGGGAAGCCCAGTCTCCTCAATGTTGCAGGACGAAGTGTTTTTCTGCCTTCCCCAGAGATTTATTATTGGAACACTTTATTCCATTTATTCACTCCTCCTTGACCTTATGTCTGAGCTTAGACCTCCCCAAATTGCAGGCAACTTACAGCCTCTGAATGGGGCTGGCCCAGGATGATGTTGGATTGGGTACTAGGGAGGTACTGGTTTGGTTCCTCGCAATCAGAGTCAGTGTAGGTTGTACACTGAACACCTGGCGCTACCTGAATTGACCGTACTTTTGGGGGCATAGTATTGAGATCGAGAGGAACACATTGTTCAGTAGAAGAAATTTGCTGAGATGGCCCTGAAAATTGGGGATCAGAATAGACAGTGGCCTATACGATTAGGTTAGATGCCCCCCGTTTCCTTTCTCACTGATGCGGAGTGCCGTACGATAGTAGACTGAGCGGCCACGGCAGTTGTGAATACAACGCAGAGGAATCGAGAGAAATGCATGGTTGCGAAGCGTGAGGTCCTTTCTGCCTTACGTGCTGGTTGGTGATAGACTTGATGTATAGTTCAGCTTTGCTCGTATGTCCGTCTGTTTAGCTATTCTTGCTATAACTGGGATGGGATTGTTAGAAAGTTTCTGTATATAGCCAGATTAGACATACGAACCTTCCTAGAAGACGACAGCTGAAGGATTCAGTAGGGTTTGATTGATGTCAACTCAGAGAATGTAGTAGGAAAAATGTTGTGATTAAATACCTTTTGTACCACCCCAGCAATAGCTAGGGGCAATGCATACCTCACACCGCTCATCAAGCTGAACAAGCCTACAGTGTTTTAGATTGCGGATGAGATCCACGATCAACATTTCTAAATTTTACGGCATAGAAACGAAGACACAATCCACCAATTTTGGTGCTATTGGTGCCCTGTGGAGTGTGTATCGCCGATCTGAGAACTTTCATGTCAGATCGACACTCCACATCTGTAGGTCGACCCACTCCGAGCTGAACCGAAGCCCTGACTGGGTAAATCGACGCTCTTTGTACAAGAAAAAATTCCATTGCACATCGTGGAAAAGTTATTTCAATCGCGGATGCAAGGTGATTAGTATGAGGATCAACATACTTTGATTAAAAATGGGATTTACTACTTTGTCTACGGAGTACTCCGTAGCGTCAGAGGATAACATCTAGTCACGGAGTATGGACTTGAGGTCACTTCAAAACTGCCCATCTTGATAGAAAGATTCAGCCGAGCCCCAAGATCAGCAACGAATTTGTGCATGGTGATCTGCCACTAGTACTTGCGTGCTTGAAACTAGTGATTGCCTAGTAGGTCCCATAGTGGCAACGAATGCACGAATGCACGGATGAGACGCGCCGCACGCGATAGAATCCACGGAGAAAAGTGAATATCCTTCCCTCAGAATTAGCTCTCTAGAGCGTAAGCACAGCCTTCTGTGTGATGACTACTGCAGCGGGCGTACACCAATACACTATAGGATGCGCTACATGTGGGAAGAATGAGGGAAAGTGGCAACTAAGGACTGGGGGGAGGCGGAAAGCGGGCGGACGATCTTGCCAGATTTCCAGATCTACCAAATAGTTCGAGGGGATTCGATGTATCATTACAGGCTGATTACAATACGTTCTTGACAAGATTAGTTAGATGTTACCAGCTTAGTTCTGCCTGACTAAGAGGGCGGTGGCCCTAAACAGGATTATTGTATGTCGGATTTATTTTCCGGGAATCAAGTCAAGAGGGGTATAAGGTCAAACTGATTTCGAAAACCACTGTACCTGCCGAACAGCTACTTCGGTTGCCCAACAGCTAGCACTATCCTCGTTAAAACGCGTTGGCCCTTGGTTTTACTAGATCTGGATACTGTACGATACAGATCCTGAGATAGAGCTAGACTTCCGCAAAGCCCACAAATGGGCCCGAGGTCTGGGCCCAAAGCCCAACCAAGCCCACGGCCCATTAGTAAAGCCCAATTCTATGCATAACTATTGTCTTGGCGCTCACAAATCTTATGATTAATGCCTTTTTTTTACGCACGTTTTAGTCTGTAAGCCGAGATCTCGGCTCGACGGTCCACTAAACCCAATACGGGGGTTCAACTCCCTAATCCGGGGGTTCAACTACTTCAAGAATCAAGATCTCAAGATTCAGTGGCCAACGTCCGGTAATGAAGGTTATGGATAAAACTAGCTATAGTATATACCAGTTTTTATAGACATTGCTAGAAAAAAGTCCAAGATTACGATGATTTGGTAGTATTCTGGCAATTGGAGAATTACGGAGTGTCAACATGCAGAAACATATATTTCATGTTAACTGAAGTAAGTGCATCTTTCAAGTGAAGTGTAAATTCAATCGCTACTTTCTTATTCGTGGGTTTTTATGGTTGATTTTATACCAAAAGATAGCTAATCCTCTCTCATCTAACCTGCGTTCATATATAAGTGATAACTTGACGACTCCAGAGGGGACGGAGGTTCAAAAACATACCATAAGCTATGGGGGTGAAATTTTTTGGGTGGACAAATTGGTAAATGGGCGGGGAGATAGGCTATTCTTGGGCTATCTATGGGCTTTAAATGGGCCGAGTCCACTTGATATGCACCATATAGCCAATGAGATACTAGCATCGCGATCATCCGTTTAAATCTCGACCAGTGCTATGATGATCCTCTGTTTACATGCTCTGTTTGCCGCGTCGACAGTTCTCTCACTAAGAAGGTAGGTCATGTCCAATTCTTCCTTCATCACCCTAATTCACTTGAACCTTTCCTACCATACCACTTTGAAGTTCGAATTCACTGTCAATTGACCATCACTGATCATGTCACAAAGCCAGCAAACCGAGGTTGGATCGTCTCAGTTGAGTCTGTTCGACTCTGAGCCCGACGACTTATCGTTTATTACATCTTCCAACTGCCCAGCTACCCCGTCTACCTCTTGGCAGGTTGACTGCTTCTCGTTCGTTCAGCCGTCTGTTCCTTCGTCTGTCGCCCCAGATCCCCTCGAACGCTTCCAACGAGTGGGTCCTGGTAGGAGAGGCCAGTTTTTTCTATATAGCGGGATGAATCACAGCGATTGGGTCGATTGGTGGTTGGAGACTGACTATGGATCAAATAACAAGATCACTTGGGAGTCACAGCATGGTTCCGCTTCGGAGACCTGGAAACAATTTGAGCAAGTAGCGCATACAGGCACTGGGAGCCCGAAGGTTATGTGCAAGCGTTGCGATGCAATTCTTGAGCACCCTTATGCTACAAAGAAGGATGCCAATGGGAGGGTTGGTCGTCATGGCACGACGACTATTACCCGCCATCTTCAGACCTTAACCTGCCAAAAGGCCACTGGAGTACGGCAACAAAGGGGGAGATTGAAGGGATTTCTGCACTCGGTATGTAAGAGCCTATGATTCTTTGAAAAAGCTAACTAGTTATTTCTATCGAAGCAGGGTCATCCAGCCGATCGACCGTTCTCGCAAGAGGCCTGGGAGGATAAACTCTTACAGTTTATCACCATTAACCGCCTTCCGTCTAATCTCGTTGAACATCCAACCTTCCGTGACTTGATCTCGCACTCGCAGTCCGCCCCAACTCCAAGCCTTCCAACCATACAATCGGCTGATACAATTCGACGTCGGCTGTCTGTTCGTGTCAAAGAACGACAGCGGGATACACTCGGCTTGCTACCAGAGCATGCGAAGATCTCGGTTGCGTTGGACTGTTGGACATCCCCGTTTGGGCAGGCGTTTATGGCTATCACTGGCTATTTTATCGACGCCGACTGGGTCTACCGCGAGGTGCTGCTTGGCTTCAAACCCCTTCATGGCACACATTCGGGTGCGAACCTAAGTGCTGTTCTTATGAAGACGCTCACTGAGCACGGAATTGTGGATCGAGTCTTTGGATTGACCACTGACAACGCGTCAAATAACAAGACACTGGTTGATACGCTTCAACAGTCTTTGTCTGGCGATGTCAATGTTATCCGAGTCCCCTGTCTTGCCCATGTGATCCAATTAAGTCTGAACCAATTGCTTGATCGTTTGAAAGCTGTCCCACTGAATGATACGACTGAGACCACATGGACAGACCGCCAAGTCAACCTCGCCAAAGCGAATGCACAATCCAGGGAGATATCGCATACCTTAAATAAGGCACGATATCTTGCTATCTACATCCGCGGCAGTCCGCAGCGTCGGGAGTTATTCACTGCTGTCCAACCCCTAGGGCAAGGGCTTATGCCGATCCAGGATGTCAGAACTCGAGGATACTAGAGCTTCGATCGGCTGGGATAATAAAAAAAGATCAAATGTTTGGGATGAATTCGACCAAGTTGCAAACGAAAAGACTGGCGAGCCAAAGATCATATACAAGCGCTGCCATACTACCCTTACTCATCCCTAGTTACGCCGCGGGGGAACAAGCCCAATGAATACGCATCTTAAAAGTACTACTTGCAAGCCTGGGCTGCAAAGACGAGGAATTGATCAGCTACTACTCCAATCGGTTAGTTTAAACATCATCCTGATCATCTACCACTATTTACTAACTCTCTTCTTATTTAGCCCCAGACTCGATCGCCACAGTCCTTCTCTGAAGATCTTCTTATCTATTATCTTCTCTAGCTCATCACCATTACCCGACTCCCATTCCGTATACTTGAGCGTCCTGAGTTCTAACAACTTTGTGATATCATTCAACTAGCTCCTTCTAAGATTAAATTGCCCTCTGCTCGGTCTATTCGTCGTCGGCTAGACCTAGAGATTCAACAAGGACAAAGGAGTATGCTCGATAATTTACCGCAGGGAAGCAGACTCTCAATTGCATTAGACTGCTGGACATCACCCTTTTCCCAAGCATTTATGGCAATTACTGGCTATTTCGTTGATAATAACTAGGAGTATCGTGAGGTCCTTCTTGGATTTGAGCCACTACATGGTTCACATACTGGAAGCAATTTAAGTTCCGTCGTTATCAACATTCTTGAGGAACACCAGATCACCGATCGGATATTATCTATCACGACGGATAATGCAACGAACAACAATACTATAATCAATAGCATCCAAGAAGAGATCAAGGTACAAGGAATTGGTAACACAGGGATCTTTCGGATTCCATGTCTCGCCTATATGATTCAGCTGAGTCTTAATCAATTACTGGGTAAAATGAAGGCAGTACCCATTAATGATAAGACTGAGATTGAGTGGTCGGATGAGCGTACATACTCAACACATCCTAAGCGCACAAACAGAGAGATAGTTGATACTCTAAACAAGGTAACTCTTCCTTCATCTCTTTTACTACAAGATCACTAATCTCTCACTCTGTCTAGATTCGGAACCTTGCTATCTTTATCAATGCAAGCCTACAGCGCCGCGAAGCCTTTTTAGGTCTTCAGACCGAAGAGCCTCATCTACTCCCTATTTAGGATGTCCGTACACGATGGAATTCTACCTTTCTAATGCTCGGCCGGGCAAAGCGACTACAGGAGACCTTTAAACGATACTGTCAAACCCATAGATACCCCCAATTCCAACTTGACAAAGAGGAGTGGCGCCAGGTCGACTACCTTCTTTATATCACCTAGCCGTTCTTCAAATTCACTACTGCTCTTTCAAAGTTAAAGGATATCACTATTCATCTTATCTTTAGCATCTACAATAAGCTCTTCAGTCACCTTGAGGCCTTAGAAGAGCAGCTTCGCCGGAAGAGAATTCCCTAGAAGCAAACTATGCTTCAAGCACTTCAAGCAGCAAGGAAAAGCTCTCAGAGTACTATAAGATGACTGACCATGAGTGCTACGGTGATATTTACGCAATTGCAACAATCCTAGCACCTTCGAAGAAGCTTCGCTTCTTTAAAACTAAGGATTGGCAAGGTGATGTTGACTACGCTAGACGATATCGTGGTCGATTAGAAGAGGAATTCTGGCGTTATAAGAGACAGCTTTCAGATAACAATAGCCACCTATCACCTAGGGCTTTAGCTGGTTCACTTAATACTGTGGATGAGATTAAGATACTTTGTGACTCCCAGAATACTCTCCAACCGGAAGAGCCCCAAGGGAACAATGATAACGAGCTTGATCGCTATCTTGCCAAAGGTGGGCCCCTACCTATCCACAAAGAAACTTCGAGTAATTAAAATAATAATCTAGGACTAATATCTCAACATCCTCGTATGTTCTAGAAGGAACATCAACAAGAGTTTCCAATACTTGCAGCCCTTGCACGGGACATCTTATCTATTCCTGCTAGTGGTGCTGGTGTAGAACGTCTATTTAATTGCGCGCGTGATATCTGTCATTATCGACGTGGGCAATTAAAACCGGAGACAGTAAAAGCGCTGATACTTCATATGTGTGCAACAAAATTCGAGGTTGAACAGAAGGAGATTGATTTCACTAAGCAGCTCATTTCAGTTGGAGAGTCGGCTCTTCTTGAACAGGAGAGAGGCTTATTGCCACCTCTCCCTTCTCTAGATCCTATTAGTGATAGTGAGAAGGCCGAAGATGAAGATATAGTGACTAAGATCCCCTCTCAGCTGCTACAGCCTTAGGCTCGGAGTGAAAATACTGGAACTAAAAGGCCTCGAAGCAGAAGCACTCAATCCCAGGAGAATGAAGTCATACCTAAACCGGCTGATCTAGAGAATACACAACGACCTAGTCGCGTACGGAAGAAGACTAGGATGCCAGAAGGATTTGAAATTAGAACCCTATAAGTGTATAATAAATCAAAGAAGTGCACTATTATGTTAAATGAATTATTTACAAAAGAAAGGTTGATTTTGTTAAGATACTCTATACTGACTAGATACTAGAAAAATACCAAAAAGACTGCATGAAAAATCATCTGACCAAAAGGTTACGAGGCTTAGCCTGTTTGCTATATTTATCTAACCATTGGTTAACCAAAACCGCATTGCGGTCTTGAATTGAAGACCGCAACCAAACCGCAAAAATTTGCGGTCTTGATCCGAAGACCAAAACCAAATGGTTTTGGATATGGTTGCGGTTAACCATGGTCTTTGCGGTTAGTGCCGCAGTCTACCAGTCACTAAGTCGGGGGCGGGTTGAGCTGATGATACTTACGATACCAATGGTTCGTGACTGAACAATACTTGTTCCCAGCATACATGACCTAGTAAATTACCCCTTTGATGTGGCTGTGCAGTGTGGTAATGTGGCTGTGTGGAGAAACTCGTGTACTCACGTAATCCACGGCCGACCTGTCCACACGGCCGATCTGTCCACTTTCGCGTCTAACCTTCCGGCAACATCTTTCAACGCGTTGTTTTTACACCACCAGCATACAAAATGCCTCTTTCCCAAGAAAATCGAATGCAAATGGCTATTGCGGCTTATAAAAACAAAAAATTTGAATCAAAATCAAGGCTTGCGGCAATATTTGGAGTGCCTAAATCCACCTTTCTCTCTCGGCTGAGAGGAATCAAACCACGGTCGGAAATACGCGCTAGCGGTCATAAATTAACAGCGGCTGAAGAAGAAGCACTAGTTAAACGGCTATTAGATACTGATAAACGAGGATTTTCAATTCGGCCAGAGTTTCTGCGTGGAATGGCGCAGAATTTACTCTAAGCGCGTCTATAGGATCCTTCAGCAACCCTTAGGGTTAACTGGGCCTACTCCTTTACGAAACGCCGTCCTAAAATACAAACAAGATATAACCGGAGGATTACATACTAGCGAGCAAAGCAGGAGGATCTAAAGGTTATAAAACAGTGGTTTGCGACCGTACGCGAAGCTATTCAAGAATATGGTATCTATAAGGATGATATCTGGAACTTTGACGAAACCGGCTTTGCAATAGGGCTCTGTTCAACCTCTAAGGGTATCACTGCGGTAGATCGTAGTGAAAGACCTCGCAGAGTTATTCAGGGAAATCGCGAATGGGTTACAATCATTGAATGTGTGAGCTCGAAAGGCAATTCTATACCTCCATGGTTATCTTGAAGGCTGGATCTCACCAGGCCGCTTAGTATTAAGAGCCTGCTATTAAGAATGGCTGGGTTCTTACAAGAAGCCAAAATGGCTGGACAATAGATGAAATAGGCCTTACTTAGCTAAAAGAGACATTTGAGCTATATTCTAAACGCCTTTTAACCGGTGCGAAGTGAATACTTATTCTCGACGGCTATTCTAGCCACCAAACTGCAGACTTTGATGGTTTTTATAAAGAGAATGCAATTATCTGTCTCTGTATACCTCCTCATACCTCTCATCTACTATAACCACTCGATGTTAGGGTTTTCGGCCCGTTAAAACGCTCTTATAGGAAATTAGTTGAAGGAATAATGACTGCCGGCAATAATCATATCGACAAGGAAGACTTCCTACACCTACATCCTCCTACACGCGAGATGGCTTTTAACCTAGAGAATATACGAAATGGCTTCGTAGGAGCTGGTCTTAAGCCACTTAACGAAGACCGGGTCCTCGAAAAGATTACATTTCAACTTCGGACGCCAACACCACCTCTTTGTTACGCGTAGCCGACTGGTCACTGTGAGTTGGAACGTTCACGGGTTATACTTGCCTGGTTCCGACTGCGGATTCCAAGAGTGTCCCTCAATCGTACCGTCGCTTCGCGAAGCCTTACTGCGGATTGGATTCTGTTGAGTATCTTGCAGAACGTGCCAGAAGTGCGCGCCAAGTAAGTCAGTCATTAAGTATTGCTACTGAGTGAGCTCCCCTACTTGTAGGTTGGGTTGTCTTGAAGTGAACTGTGAAGTGCAAAGTGCTAAAGGTAGTAACCAAGTAACAATGTGCAATTGATCGCGAAGAACTAAATACATGATGCTAAATGAGTGTCCTTATATATCCAGTCCTTCTCGGTCGCATGGTAGATGGTATGTTGGTAGATGCTTCCTGGCGTGATCTATCCTTATACCCATCTACCCGTCTACCACTTGTGGTCACGTGTCGGTCTTTACCGTCACCTTGTGTTGTGGCGTAATCTGGGTGCGGGTAGAAAGGCAGCCGTTTCCTGCGTCGCGCTAACCGTCCCGTCACGTAAGTGGGTATTGGTTGTGACGGTTAGCCGTAGGCCTGTTTCGACTCCTGCCCTGGGCGTCGGTCTTGGGCTCCCCCAGGTACACGTGACAACGCTAATCCTGAGCGTCCGTGGGATGATTGGCCCGTAGTTGCTGTTCAAATAGCTGCGGCCCCCGCGCAGCTTCGAGGTCCGTAACACTCTTATCGAAGGATCAATATCCTCTACTTTCCAAACACCTAAGAATCCTCGCCAGCTATATCATGAGGTCCGCAGTCTATAGAGAAGCCTTCGAAAAAAAATGCTCTCTAGTAGCCCAATTTCTCATATTCAACATCTTGAAAAGGCTGCACAGATGGCTATAAATATGAACGTTCTCCTCCAACAAGAAATTAAGGTTCTACGCGCTGAGAATGAGCGGAAACTGAAAAAGAAGGTAAGAAGGCGTGGTAAGATAGGCGACGATCTCTTTTTATCTAGATATGAGGGTCAAAATCGCGTTTAGCAGCTTGATACGCAGCCAAACGAGCAACATAGTAAGCCTACTGCTAGGCCATGCCAGCGAGCTCCACGACGCTGTAGTGGGTGTGGGACTATTGGACATACTGTAAGAAGTTGTCCTAATAAATAAGCGAATAGATAGTCTAATATTATTTTGTCTCGTGTGTGAAAAGCCGCAATTTTATTGACGGTACGGTGAAAGTGGACAGTTCGGCCGTGTGGACAGGTCGGCCGTGGATTACGTTAATATGGGCGAACCGCACGTTCCAAAATACTAGTGATGTGAATGGAGGGATTAAAGCTTCATATCTCAACATCCGCGCCTAGTTCGCCGATACATATTTGTGTATGCGCATTCGTGCGTATAGATAATTCCAACATGGAAGGTGACTACAGACTCAGGTGTACTTAAAATTATTTTCGAATTCTTTCGTAATTCTAGTACTCCAATGGAACCACCCATCTCCCTAGGCTTTACAGTAGAATTCGAAAACAGATTACCCCTCCAGACTCACACTTTGTTTCTCGGCTCGTATCCGAAACCACGCCAATCCGTTTTAAAATACGGCGTAATGATTCAATTCTAATAATAGATATTTTTTTTAATTCCAGAACAGACTCTTTTCGTAAAAATACTGTCCTGTACACGAGTCCCAGATTCGCCTACCTCCATGCCCTACATTCATCATTCTTTGAGTCCGCTATCTCGAGGTCTGCCAGAATTCCTAAGATAATTCCGACACTATCCCTGTCCAAGCAGCATCTCGTCACTGATATAATAAAAAGGCAATCGTAAACCCGTTCTCATATATGCGACGCCTGGTTAGTCGCCGAGTGCGGGACCCTGCACAGATAAGTGTTGACGTCATATTTACCGCCCTTTAGTCCGGCAGCTATAAAGGCAATGGGATTGCTCACGATAACTGTGCTTGGATGAAACACCAGTATCAAATACGGTTACATCAAGCATGGGATTCGCCGATCTCCAACCAATTTTGCAAAGTCTGCTAGAGTCTGGTAAATATTCAGACTTGACAATATCATGTGAAGGCCAGATCTTCGAGGTACACCGTGCAATAGTGTGTTCGCAGTCGCCCTTTTTAATGCTGCAGTCAGAGGGGGATTCAAGGCAAGTATCATACTTCTATACTTCTATACTGTACTTTAGATTAACTTATCACAAGGAAGCTGCTTCATCGCAAGTTGACCTACCGGACGATAAGCTGGCAACCATTCAGCGCGTTATTTCTTTTCTTTATAACCAAGATTACAACGAAATAAGCACCTTTGATATTCAGGACGCAAAAGATGCCATCGCCGAAGTTGTGAAGCCTTGTTCAACTGCGCAGAACAATTTCGAAGTTTTCCTAGCGGCAGACAAATTTGACATTCCGTCTTTGAAAAGGCTTGCAAAATCCCGCCTTATTAGCTGGATTGAAAAAAATCCCGAGAAACTTTCACAAATTGTACGAGATATCTGGGTCAACATCCCGCCTCTTGAGACTGAGCTCCAAAGCGCCATAATCAATGCAATTTCATGCCACGCGGACACGTTTCTCAAGCATGATGAGGGGATCAAGATTTTGAGTGATCTACCAGAGCTTACCATTGCTGTGCTCAAAGAAACTGTCGATGAAAACACTCGCCTTAAACTTCAACCGCGGAAAATCCGTGCAGGATGGTGACATATTGATATTTGGACCATACTTAAAGACGGTAACCGTTTATCTGATCGTATATTGTGTGGATCGGCTAAGCAGGCTGACTCCTCTCTCCTTTCGTTTGTTGATTGATGCAAGCAAAAATTTAGTATAATGAAGCTAAAACTGAGAGAAATGATACTTTTAATTTCTTTAGTCATAGGATCTATCACCCTACAAATGAAATGGAGCTTTGGAGTTTGGATTCTTGGATCGGTATCGTTTTCACCAATTCTGGGTGTTGAAATTTTGATGGCTTGCAAAAGAGAAATTGAGGAAGAATACGGTAATTTACCAAGGCTTTGTAAGATAATTCAGTACAGTACGGCTTGTACTTTTGGCGCTGCGACAAGGATTGTTTTCACGGTAGCCGTTTTTGTTCTAGCGCTGTTTCGGGTACGGGCCGAGAAACAAAGTCAGTGTGTCCCAGGGGTAATCTGTTTTCGAAATCGACTGTAGCCAACCGGACCGAATGAAGTAAAACCTCTCAAATACCTTATAGGCTCCGGAACGGCAAAGATCTGCTACTGCTGATTCTATTATTAACAATGGTTGCATGAAAGCCCAGCCAATTTTAGTTAAAATAGCTTCCACCGGCGTTGCTGTTTTGAGGCCTTCATGCCATGAGGTGAAAAACTCGATTAAGACTATGGCTTTATCCAGAATGTTGCCAAGGGCACGCAGTTGGGACAGAAGCAACCTGAGTCACGAAAAGCTATTCGTTATGTATAAAACATGTCGAAGACGCCCTTGATTAGGAAAAGAAAGCGCGCTAGAAGAGCCATGCGAAGAGTATATGTCATATGACCTGTATGTCGACATGACCTCGCCAACAGACCAGGGAACAACATGGGCAAAAGCCAGCAGTATTGCTCCTGTACTAGCACTGACACTCAGGACGTTGAGGTGATGCTATCCTTCAATCTTAGGTGTCGAATAAGGTTGTCCTTAACCTGAAAGATGACAATCACACTTACACATTACTGCTCTCGATAGGGACAACTATAAACTTCTAAGATGGTGTTTTGGGTCTGTCTCATGGCTAGTCTTTTGCGTCGTGCGACTTCGAACAGTCACACATTTTGTCTCCCTTTCCTTACATCTCCTCATTCAACTATGCCTGGGTCTTGCCGATTGTTAGCGAGATGAATTGCGGAAATGACTCTAATTATGCATTTTGCCTTCGCTCAGATTCGTAATTTGCACGAGGAAGGGTAACTGTCATTGCTGAATTTTATCTTTCTTGGCCAATCTCTCTGATCGCCTAAGTTTAGATTGATCGTCGTATGGGAATTTGCGTTTCAAACATCCCGCAGAGGATTGACGTGGCAGTTTTCCCTCAGAGGAACCAGCATTTTCCGTTACTTCCAGGGAAACTGTTCCGCTAGTCATCGGAGGTGCACGTACACTGTTACTAGGCGCAGGTGAACGTGGACTGTGCTCGGCTGAAGACAGTGCGGAGAAGGTGAGGAAGACTTTCGGGTCTACCGTGTCCGAATGAAAGTTCAGAACAACACTCCCAAAGAACTCCTTTCGTTCCTCATAATCCGAGGCTAGAAAGTGCCGGCTCTTATAAAGTTCAATATGAATTCGCCCAGTGAAGCCGTGCTGCCAATTGGCCCCCTGTTCGCGTTGTGCCCCGACCGATTCAAATATCAAAACCCCATCAGACCGTTTGCGAGATGCACGGGCGTGATCGCCCTGGGGTTCTTCAGGGGAGAACGTGAGAATTGCACTTGGGTTTTCGCCTTCCAAACGGGCGACCACAGCACCTTGCCCGACGAGAGTATCGTCTTTCTGGAAATTCTCTAGGCTGCAAGGTATACCTGATGAGAAGTCTGTTCGGAGTATCACTTGGTTGACAACAAAGCGTTCTGGCCATGTACCCCCCTTTTTCATTTTCGGGACATAAAACCGCATGGTCACGCGGCCTTCGTTGCTTTCTACTCGTGCTTTTTGGGGCCTCTTCGAGTTTCTCGATAGTGTATTTTCTGCAAAAATGCACGTGTCAGCGAGTGTATTGGACGTGTATAGTACAAGACGGAACCACTCACGAGGAGATTGGATTATATCCAAAAAGAAAGCTTGAGCGTGCCAACAAGCAATATTTTGACAGCGCTCCATGTGATCATATACCCCGGCTAGTGCATCGCCGACGGCAGTAGACATAGAAGAATCCCTGGTTGACGCCGCTTCGCCTAAACACTTAGCTCGGTTCATATTATCCGCTGCTTCTTGCGATATTCTGTGGCTCGTGGATCCTATTTCACAAGGACTAATTGAGAGGCTTTCCCCGGGGGAATTTCCGGCTACCATTATTTCTTCGGGAACACCGTTGCGGGTTATCAAGAGAGAAGCAGCCACATTTCGGTCCTCTTTTGGTTCCTCCGTCTTGGAAGCTTTTCCTTGCTTAGGGCTCCTCTCGGGTCCTAGTTATATTCAAGATTTAGCGTAATAGAGTCAAATCGTCATCAACTAAGCGTACCTTTGTCGTCAGTCGCAAGGCTCTCCCTCCCCGCAACCCCAAAGGGCTCGTCACCTAAATTCGGAGTGACTTTCAATGTTTGGTGGTCTGACTGAAGCTTTTCGACTGACGGAAGACCGTCTAGGTCCTCAAAACCTATCGAACTGTTAGACACATGGATAGAGGACGAATCGATGGCTGCTTCATGCTTCCCTGGATAGGCAATGTTTCCACCAGTCAAAGATCCATAAAACTCCGGAGTAGTCATTATCTCAGTGTCGGCATCGGAATCAGGATAATCTGGCTCATCGCGAAGCCAATCCTCCCCAACATGGAAGATGTTGGAATTGAGAGCCGAGTCTGGCAGGGCATATTCATCTTCGATCAATATGGGATTTGCGAGCTTCCCTAACTCAGGGACAACGATAGAGTCGCACAAAGCCATTTCAGACTATTCACGCGATCAAATGGGCATTGAACAGTAGACAGAAGTGATTCACCTCTCGAGTGATATGACAAACGGAGGGCGATGGTGGCGATTATTCTGCTGAGAGGAGGCTTCATTATATACCCCTCAGTGAAATTACCACCACTTGAAACTAGGGCGTCATCACAGCTTCTACTTGGAAGTTCCCAGGAATCTAGATACCCATGGATTACGAACGACTTTGTAGAGGAAATTTACGCATGTCAACAAAATGGCGTAAAGTCTGACGTTCCCAGGATCATTCAGCCGCTTCCCTATCTGGAACAGTCACTGAATCAATAAATTAATCCTCCGGCCAGCTCCTAGGAGCAATCTCTTCTGAAAAATTGCAAACCGTGGAGATTGGGGTTTGACCAAATGTAGAAAGATGATGCCCAAGTAAGACTTGCAGTCATCCAGTATGTTCATGTGATACGTGGAAATCAGTACGCAATGGCTCCCAGGAGCGTGCAGATGATCTCAATAGATTGATCAACCATCAGGCTTCACCGAGGCGCAATGACTACCAAAATGAAACCTCAGGTTATTGATGCCAATTCGTTTGGATGGGACAGTGGGGCCAATCCAGAGAAAACCTTCACGTGGATGGGGCTAGCGTATTGCGTTTTAGTGAGATGCCCTTATGCTTAGGGTGTGCTCACTGAGCAAGTCAGAGCGCTCAGTGAGTGGATCAGAGCGCTCAGTGAGCGGATCAGTGAGCTTACATAATGCTCACTGATCAGATCAGGGCGCTCAGGGGCGTGCTCAGTTCTGCTCAGTGAGCAAAAGCGGCGAGGGGCTGAGCACTAAAACGGAAAGGGAAAGCCACGACCTGGCATAGGAAATCCGGTACGTAGGCCACTATACGTAACATTTTTCCTATGCCAGGTGGGGCTTTCCTATTTTAGCTGCCGCCGCTTTTATGAGGGCGCTCAGAGTCAGGCTCACTGAGTAAATTTCAGTCCGGGAATCAGAGTCACTGAGCTGCTCAGCATCGTCACGTGATGATCAGTGAGTGCTCAGTGAGTGCTCAGTGAGTCTGATTGGATGCTCACTGAGCCATCACTGATTACTCAGATATTCGGCAGAGGCATCTATTGAGCACCCAGTCGATGCTCAGCCCATACCCAAACGAGCGCTTTGCCCCACCGTATTGTTTATCTTCCAACCTACTTTTTGATGGGCCTCATTTTTCACCATGTCCTGTTTTTTGAGGTACTCGACCCTCCAATCTCTTTCCTCAGCCCCCACAAATTAATGAACAGGGGCACGGTGACTCAATAATGGAGGGTTTAGGGATTCCGCCATGCACCGGCGCAGGAAAAAGGCGATCCGCTATCATCAGAACCCAAGATCTGTGCTTAAGTCCCGGAGTACAAATTGTAGCTGCATCCCGCATTTCAAGACGCAACCCATATTCTCTTCATCCTTAACTCAATAATTACTTCCATTCATTCATTCAGGCGTTCTACGAGAATACTTTCCGTCATGGGTCAGAAGACCTTCTTTGCTCAACAAGATGAGGCCTCCAAGCAACTGGCAAAGAACGGCTATGTTTTTGGCGCTCATGCGAAGGAGGATGCTATCAGACAAAAAGACAAAAGGATACCCAAGACGAAGAAGATGTATTCCAGTGTTGTCCGTCGTTGGATGGAGTGAGTTTTATTATCCAGAGGATTGCCCGCCGCATGCGTTGCTGACTGCTCTTAGATTCATTGAACAAAATGGCATCAAGGGCTATGAGTTTGGGCCAGGATGTGCGACTCCAGACTATGTGCTCCTCAAAGAATTTTTCCGCTGGTATGGTCATACCGCGCGAGGCAAGAAAAGTAAGAACGGAAGACCGGTGATGACATCGTTTCTGAATTGTGCAGAAAGGCTGTTTGGTGGGTTTGAAGAAGAATTGCAGATCAAAATTGTGATGGAAGACAGGAGCGAGATATATAATGTAAGCTTTTGCTGAACTCCATGGTACACGCAAGACTAACCGCAGCACAGTGGATAAGGAGAACATTAACAGGCAACGAAGGGTGGATTGAGAATGTTGAAGATCCA